TACAAATTGAAGTTAAAGATGCAACTAGCACTAAATGAAGTTCTAGTTCGAAGTTCGACTAAAGTTTGTTTTAAGAATACGGGCGTTAATCTTTTGAATGCATAACTACTACTTCTTTGTATTGTATTGTATTGTATTGTATGCATAACTACTACTTCTTTAGTCATTTTTAAGTCTACAACTAAAGTAAAATGGAAGAACTGTTTTCCTACCTGACTGCGGACGTTCATCTCTATTACCATGGTTACGTCTGTTATCTATATTTGGAAAAAGAACAAGAACACTAAGATACTGTTACTCAGAATAAATAGTAAGATTGACTGATAGCGAGATCAAGGGGGGAGTTTTGCTTTTCATCAGTACAGTAATAAACAATTGCTAGAACAAATAGTTATCATAAATGCTTAAATTTCAACAAATATGTGAGATTAATTTTAAAAAAGTTAAAATAATAGTTTGTTAATCCTTAATCTTTAGATTGTTAGAAATATTGTTACAGTATATACCTTGATTATTATCTGGTGGTGAAAAACAACTACAGAACAAAATATTGCTTATCACATAGTTGTTTTCATTATCTTCATTTCCTAAAAAAAAAAAGCACAAAAAGCACAAAGATTTGTTCCAATGTTAAAGTTTTTACTTTGTTTGAGAAGAAAAATATTATGGGGAGCAGAAATTATTTTGAAAAATAGCCAGGAGAAAATGGCCTATTCCCTGCAGACCATTTTATCAGGTTTATTTTGAAACAGTGCTGCCAACGTCTCGCAACATACTGGCGGACTTCCAGCGGCATAGCTTAAGCAGCTAGCTAATTACGTATAGAACACCGCGCAGCGGATAGCTCTGCTAGAAGTAGACAACAGATACGATCTTACTAATTATTGTCATTACTGTATATGCAAACATTGAAATAGATTAAGACACACTTGTTTTTAATATAAACACTTTGAGTTTATTTTTTGTTTTTAAAATATTTGTGCTCATTAGTAATTTAGTTTTATTGTTACTTTAATCCATGATGTTAAGTACGTAAAGCGAAATGCTAGCCCTCTGAAAGTCTCCCAGTGGTAGTTGCCTGGTTACTGGAAATTTTCATTTAAATTTCACGAAACTGGTCTATCAAGACTATAAAATTCTGACATGAAAAAAATACATGCGACATGCCTACTAAATATGGTGAAGACCTAACTGCCAACGAATCTGTTACGTAAGATATTGATAGTATGGAAAAAGCTTAAGAAGAGTAAATCATGAACTGTCCATGCCTACTGCCAATGCCAGTTTAATGTCAGTTGCGGCAGAGCATCGGACTGTAATTTGAAGGTTACTGGTTTATTTTCTACAGCAGCCCATATTTACTTTGCTCCACTTACTGTCAAAAAAAAATATGCCTGAAGCAAAAACCACCAACCTATACATAAACTTACTTCTTGGTAATGAGCTTGCATCATTAGGATTGCAGCAACCTGTTGCGGAAAAAAACTGAATTGATTTAAAACATACTATACTAAAAAACCATACTAGCTTAAAACAAAACATACTAGCTTAAAGAATTTTTACTTACTGATTTTTAATGTTTCATGTTTTTATCCTTTACTACATGCAGTTTTTATATTTACTCAATTAGTAATTTTAATGTTCAATTTTAACTTTTTTACCATTTTTTCAATTTTAAATTGCCCTATGTTTACCTATTTTATATATTTTACTATATATTCTAAACCTTGCCAGATCACTATCTGAAAATATTCGCTCTTGTGCAATAATTACCCTGGCTTCTGGACCCCATTGGAAATAAGTCTGGTGTACAATCACTAGAATTAATGGGTCATCCAGGCATTCAATTAATTATTCATCTCCTTTTTTTATGTTCGTTATCAAAATGTTATTGTTATGTATGTGATATTGAATGCAAATAAATCAAATCAAATCAAATCAAATATTCCTTCCCTCTTCCTCTCCCACCCTCCTGATACATATTTCATACAAAAACCTAATCTATGTGTATACCAAAAAATAATGGTATGAAACTCATAGAAAAAAAAATTAAACATGTCTTACCACATCTTAGAAAGCAAGGGCAGTAATTGGTCCAAAATGTCTTGGATTTCTCAGTCCAACAACATAACACTTTTGTAGCAAATCCAACAATAGCAAGTATAAAAACTAAAAATGACAATGAAAGAAAAATTACAAACCAAATAAACAATACACTAGTTGGTAAATTACAGGTACAGTAATACACTAAGTAGCGATACAAGTCAGTCATTACATCATCAATTTTATTCCCATGTAATTTTCCTATACCTCCTGAGCAGACACTAAATTTGATATATTGTCTGGTTTATTTTGCATCTTGTGTTGGAGGGCCACTTGTGCTTGGCGCCAGGAGTCAACTGTTAGATTATTTATCGAGGGTTATTCTGATGTGTGAGACAGAATAGGCAATTTGTCGGTTTGCTCAGTGGCGTATCTGGAAGTCTTGAAATGGGGGAGCCTGTCTCTTATACACATCTAGATGTGTATAAGAGACAGCTGTTACTCGGGTGCTTATTCACAAAATAAGGTGATTTTAGGTGATTTTTAACTACCTGACTGTGATTTTTGGGGGGAGGGGGATGCGACTAATTTTTTTTTTTGGGGGGGGTGTGACCATATATCATTGCAAGCAAGCTCAGAACAAACACATAATGGACCTAACAAATCTCACAAATCAGCATCGGTGAACATGAATTAAGACTAGACCACCTAGCTAGGCCTACAAAGGCATTTATGAGATAAAAAATGATTTACTTAACAAGAACTAAAAAGACATAATTCATCATAATGTATACACTACATGTATATCTCTTTAACAAATGTTTACCATTCTATCGAAGAGTGTTAGTTTGTGTACTACTGTAGCAAGTCCTTCTCATGCGCAATTAATATGTTGATCAACTGAGCAACCGATCACCAGCAGCTTGATTGAAATATTATAAAATGAGATGCAATTATTGTCAAGTTATTTCGGACACTACAGAAATTAGATACCTTAGGAGGAACCAAGTAGGCTTCGAGCAATTTTTGTTAGGAAATATATGGCTGGCTCATTTGGCTTCTAGTTTATATAGTGTCTTCAGAACGTGACTATAATTATATGTTAGTTATGGTGGATGTAATTCATTGTGACAATACAAAGCCAGAGGTTAACAGGACTCTAGGGATATCCTATACAGTGCAGTGGGTGAGTAATAATAAATTTGTTTACTTCATTAACACTACACTATTAAAAAAAAATAAGAACCAGTAAAATTTTGCCCGGACTCAGTGTTCTTATTTTTTGGCCGATTTCAGTCTGAAAATGTTCTTATTTTGTTCTTATTTTTACACACTTTTCAAACATACCAAATTATTACTGAACAGTAGTATGTTACTTTACTGTATTATAGGGTGAGTCGAGTGGCCGAATGGTAACGGAGGGGCGCCACTAGCTATAGCCTTAACATCGGTGCTGGTTGCAGCCGCTCCTTGCCCATGATTCGGTTGGTAGAACCAAGTCTTCTCGGGTAAGGACTTAAAATGGAGATCCAGTGTATACATCTGGCTAGTGTGCACTTTAAAGAACCCATTGCATCTTTCGGAAGAGTAGGGGGTTACCCTGATGTGATGGTTTATTTCAGCTCGTCGTTGAAATAATGTGAAATTGTAGCTACCACGAAGCGCCCCTTTACGCATGCTAGGTAGTCACGGACCACGGCCATACGCAAGTTTTGGGTTATTCTCCTACCTTTACCCTTTAGAGGGTACTTAAATAGTCACAGCTACTGTAATTAAGGTACAGATAAGATTTGTTTGTTTATTCTATTTTAAAAACCAACAAATCTTATCTTACCTTAATTACAGTAGCTTTGTTGGTTTTTTTTAAATAGAATAAACTAAGAAATCTTATCTGTACATTAATTACAGATAAGATTTGTTGGTTTATTCTGTTTAAAAAATAAAATAAAAAAAAAAGAAGCTCATTTGACATTTTACCTCCGCCTCAATTTGTTCTTATTTTGTTTTTAATTTTTAAGTAATTTCATCCTCAGTGTTCTTATAAAAGAAAGTGTATGAGAGATGCTGAATAGTAACATACAGTATAGGGTCGGAATGGCTAATAAGCATACTACTACAACAAATTATTTTTTATTATGGTAAAGACATTCTGATGATCTACATAAAATACCTGGACTAAGTACGATAAGAGGAATATAAACTTTTGGTTTCCACCAAGACTCAATCTCAGGCTCGCCATCAAGTGCTTTTATAGAGGACATTGTTGATGATGTCCAGAGCAAATTAATGTTCAGGTGATTAAAATTTTATTTAAAAAAAAATTTGTTCCCTATAAATATATTAAGTATTATTATCACGGCAAGTGAAAATACTAAAAACGAAAACAATTCTAAACAGACATAATATAATGATATAATAATAATGCCCTAAATTGTGCAATAATAATATTTCACAGCCTCTTATTTTCACAATGAAATGTTTTCTTGAAAATTTATTTTCACCTCTCCATTTTCAACATGCAGAAGCCACGAAAGTTTCTAAACTATTCATACAGGTACAGTCAATTCTGGCTGCGTAGTTACACCTCTGTCTCTTATACACATCTAGATGTGTATAAGAGACAGGTACATTAATTACAGATAAGATTTGTTGGTTTATTCTGTTTAAAAAATAAAATAAAAAAAAAAGAAGCTCATTTGACATTTTAACTCCGCCTCAATTTGTTCTTATTTTGTTTTTAATTTTTAAGTAATTTCATCCTCAGTGTTCTTATAAAAGAAAGTGTATGAGAGACGCTGAATAGTAACATACAGTATAGGGTCGGAATGGCTAATAAGCATACTACTACAACAAATTATTTTTTATTATGGTGAAGACATTCTGATGATCTACATAAAATACCTGGACTAAGTATAAGAGGAATATAAACTTTTGGTTTCCACCAAGACTCAATGTCAGGCTCGCCATCAAGTGCTATTATAGAGGACATTGTTGATGATGTCATTTCCCTCACATTTGTTGGAGTTGTTAAGTCAGTTGGATGAGGTAGATCATGGCGGATGTTGCTAACATTGGCTATAGTCATAGAAAAAAGAAAGTACACAGATAATCATAATGTGAATTTAGATTACAATTTTTAATAAGCATAACAAATTTATAATTATTTAATTTTTGTCCACCTACAGGTCTGAACAAACTCTATACTAATCCTCTATCCACGCTATCAAATTTTATTCATTCATTCATAATGGTATATTTATTCATAAATAATCTTCACTGAAAAACTGAATTGTTATAATCTTTTACATAAAATCAATTGCGAACAACAATGAAATTTTTAAAATGTTTAAAAGATAACATACAAAAAGTGACACTGGAAATTAAGTAAAAGCACAAATCACAATCATATAAAAACATCAATTAGCAACAAAGCAGATAAAAAATAACAAATTTATGGTAAGTTAAAAGACTGGCCAGACTGTAAAATGTAATAATACTATTATTATTATATTTATTATTATTATTATTTTTAATATGTGATAAATATCAATGACTTATTGGCATAGATTGTTTTTTTCTGATTTTATTTATTTAATTGTAAGCTAATAACTTACTGTAAATATTAAATATAAAAAGTAAGCAAATATTGATTTGGCGATTATTGAAATTGAAGGAATTATTGAAGCAAGTTATTCAAAGCAGGGCATCTTCTGTACTCAAATAAATATGATACTTGCAAACATACATACAAATGTATGATTCTACTGTAATTCAATTATTAATTTTTTTGGCCAATAGCAGAGCAAATTAATGTTCAGGTGATTAAAATTTTATTTAAAAAAAAATTTGTTCCCTATAAATATATTAAGTATTATTATCACGGCAAGTGAAAATACTAAAAACGAAAACAATTCTAAACAGACATAATATAATGATATAATAATAATGCCCTAAATTGTGCAATAATAATATTTCACAGCCTCTTATTTTCACAATGAAATGTTTTCTTGAAAATTTATTTTCACCTCTCCATTTTCAACATGCAGAAGCCACGAAAGTTTCTAAACTATTCATACAGGTACAGTCAATTCTGGCTGCGTAGTTACACCTAGACCAATAACTGACTGGCACTCACTAGAAAATACCACTTATAGTACTGCTGATGCATTGTGAATGTTTAACAGTTTTATCGATATCTTTATTCTTTGCATACTTACATATTCTTTTACAATGTAGACTGTAAATATTTACATAATTTCATGTAACAAAGTACCACTGAAAAAATGACACACTGCCATGACTTGGCAATTTTGACCATTTTGACCATGTGCCATAGCCATAAAATTTCCTACACCTCAGTCCCAAGCTGAGCTGAGGTGGTGTCTGGACCTCCATCTCTAAAAATTCCTCAATGGGACCCCTCCTATCCCCCTTCCACCCACCACCCGAGTCCTGGATTAACTGCTGAAGTTAACAAGACCAATTGAAAGAATTATTGGTTACTCTAAGCCACATTTATGCAAACTGATAATCAACTGTGTGCAAAATTCTATTCCAAAACTTACGTTCTATTGTTGAAGTAGGGATACCTTGCAGTGGTGGCTCTTTTGGACTACAGCCATCTGGACAATCAGCTTTGATACATTCAGGACATTTTAAACATATCTGTGAAGAGCTCCTGTAGTAGTCAGGCTTACACTCGCACTTTGCATTAGTAGTCTTTGTACAGTTCTGCAGTTGTACTTCATTTGACTGACATACAGTACAACTATTACAATAAGCCTCAATTCCTTCCCCTAACAAGTATGTTCCATCTGTTAAAAAAATAGAATAAAACATGTTAGAATATAACAGGGTAATGCTAAAACCCTTCAAACCTAAAAAAAAACCACTGCAAACTCCATCCAAACCTAGTGACAGTACTTGAATCACGGTATCTTGGTATCTCAATAAAAAAAAAATTTTATGTTCGTAACAACCTATTTTTGAGGTAAAATCTTCATTTTTTGTTAATAATAAAAATAACTAAAAATACACCGCAAACCCCATTCAAACCTTGTGATAGTGATTGAATCAAATAGTATAGGACTCAACTTGGTATCTCAATAAAAAAGGTATAATTTTATGTTGTAAAATAACATTAGGCCAAGTAAAAAAAAAAAAGTAGATTCTCGCCTCCGCCCGCATACTATTTTCAGGCCGCTTCGTTTTTTCCAACCAAAATCGATCGCATATTTTGTCTTGGTTTACCTCATTTTCGTCATTTCCACTGTTTACTGATCGCGAAGACTGCGACGAGTACGATAAAAATTTACAGTTGAGGTACCATACCGTTTAATTATAAAGAGAATTGACCAATAAACATATTGCAATCAGTATCACATACATTATTTTTAGCAAGCTATTTGCGTGATAATTAACAAGAAAGAAGCGTGAAGTAAAACGTTTGATTTTATTTACTGTATTTGTTTCTAATCTTTGCTCTATAGTCAAGTTGCTTCTTTTTTAATAGTTTTGCAATGGTATTCGTATGTGTGTGCATATGTGCACATACTGATCCGCCATCTAAATTTTTAAAGCCATACTTTGGTTCTGTAAATGAGACGAGTTTGACATTGGCAGGTGCTTTCAATGAATACGCCAGTGGCCAATTTGATGGCAAAGACCCAATAGCCGACAAATACACGAAAGTGTATATTCCTGTGCATGAATATCAATATTTTGTTTATGTCCTTTTTTTAAATAAATTGTAGTTTATTATTTAAATATTTGTCTTGTTTTGATTGTTCTAGCATGATTTTTAAACTACATCATAACATAATTAAAATTACATAGATAGCATGCTTTTTTTATTTCGCCCTCTTTTATTTTTTGTTTCTTAAAGAAAAACAAAAACAAAAAACCGCCCTCATCCTCTTTAAAAAAAAATTAGGAGAAACTACTCTTTTTTTTTACTTGGCCGTAACAACCAATTTTTGGGGTAAAATGGCCATATTTTGTTTTAAAAAATTGCTAAATGTTGCAAACGTCCAAAAACACACCACAAACCCCATCCAAACCTTGTGATAGTGATTGAATCATGTAGTATAGGACTCAACTTGGCATCTCAATAAAAACAAAACAATCATAATTTTACGTTCGTAACAACCTAATTTTGGGGTAAAAAGCCCATTTTTACTTTAAAAAAATTACTAAACACTGCAAACAACCAAAAACACACCGCAAACCCCATCTAAGCCTTATGAGATACCAAGTTGAGTTGGATTGCCTTATTGAGAATTTATAGGGTAAAACGATTAGAAACTGAAGGAAAGAGACATGCGATGTTAAGATAATGAATGATAAATCTGAAGTTAAATTATCCATAATAAATATCAATGTCAATATAATCAAAATAAAATAAGAACAACATTTATTTCATTATCTATTCAATTGTCAGGTACTTTTTGTACAGTGACGTACCTTAACTTAAACTTACTACTATATAGGCATTATAGCTCTGCCCATTTATAAATACATAGCGAAGTACTGAACCTACAATTTGAGGTTCGGAAACTAAGCAGTTCCCACTGCGAAAAACTGCTTCTATTACTTCTCATAGGAATATAAAAATCTGTTTCACTCACCTACACATCTTTCACAAAAATCGCTTTCTGCACAATCTGTTGGTGCTTTACAGCAAGCATGGTTTACCTGGTAGCCAGCTTCACATCCAGATTTACATACACTCACTTGCCTCATCTATTTGAAAAAAAGATGAAAAATAATAATGATTAATACTGTACTATGAACACCAGAAATTACCATTTGAGTAGGATTAACTGAGTGTGTAATGGTCCTTTGTCCTGGTCTTAACCTTTGTTAATGACATTTATTCCTACTGATATTTCTTCCTACTGCCAACCATGCCTTAGTTTAAGGAGTAGGTTTTTTAAAAAAGGAATAGGTTTCATAAAATAACTTCAACTTTCTTTTTTCTCAAAATGTCCAAATCAAAGAGCTCAATCACCAAGCGCATAGAGGCTTTTTCGCATGATGCGCTCTACAAATCCAACTATTATTATTATTATTACTGGCATTATTTCCTACACCCTAATAATCATTTTATTTATTTATTTATTTATTAACCAAATCAACAGCAGACATAAATCCGCCACTTACAGAATGGTACACACGGCAGGAAACAGAAAACACTTAACTAATCACATCCAAGATAGTACGACGAAAAGTAGGTCAAAATTAAAAATATCAATATTAATTAATAAATATCAATTTTGTCATTATTGCATCACATTTTTGGTAAAAATTTGTTGGCACTTATCATCAGAGGTCAAGGAGTTGATAAGTCTAAGCATAGGGCTTAAACAGGGATGAAAAATGTGAGAGCTTCAAAATTGTATGTTGGATATAAACATCTGGAATGAGCACATGGCGAAAGTAAGGTAAGGTACTAGTGTATATGTTTAAAATTATTTCAATGCGCATGTCAAAGAAAAGTCAAAACATGTAATGTTCGTGCATAAGCGTGAAAATATTTGTAAGTATGAATGAGCGTGTGCATTAATTTGGTATTTTAAGAAGATTTTATTTGCTCAGGTCATGCATTCTCTACAACCTTGTACAACAATTGATTTGTGGTTTGTAAACACAGTTTTAGCAAACAGAACAACTGAACAGAATTCAAAGGCATTGTCAAAAGGAATTTTAACAATGAAGCACCACAGACATTTATTCTCCTGAAGACGACTGAAGCAACTCAATCGAAACGTCAAGATTTTCTCAACTACAACAGTTCTTTTCAGAACTACTTTATGTGGTGTACCGCAAGCTTCACATATACATTATTTCTTCGCCATGCAAACCTTCAAGCAATACAATGAAGCACCTGACACTCTAGGTAATAGGTGGGTTTTCTTTAATTTGGAAACCTGATGAAATTTTATCAACATATTTTATTTGTCTTTTCCAAATTATCAAAGGAACACAACTGCTCTGAACATTAACTAAAATTAAGAGACATATTAAAATATAAAATCAAAACAATTTTCTACATAACCTGTTTCCACTGCTAAGAAAATGAATGGTTTTGAAATTCTTCTTTTCCAACATTTTTTCTTTGGCAGTCAAAACTTTAAACTGTTTAATTAAAAGCCCATTATAATCAATTATTGTAAATTTTCTGAAACAAAAGTGTTATTTTTAAATAATAAAAGTGAATAGATAAATATAAAAAAAGTTATTCCCTTTTGTAGATTCAATAAGGCATATGTCAAAGGTCAAGGCTCTATCACAGATCTTGAATGAAAGGAACGTACATATCAATTGTGTTTCAAATTATATTGTGAATGAAAATGAAAGCCTAGATTGTTTGTTTATGTGCCTTGACCGCTGACATAGTTATAGGCAGTTGAAGATACAAGATGGCTTTAATGTATTTTATTCATCTTCTAATGATTACTGCTAATGACCATGGATTAATCTAAACCTTTTTGTAAAGCTTTGCTAGGGGATACCACTCCTCATTGCATCATAAGCAAAAGACAAAAAATAAACAGTCTTCCAAAAGTAAGCCTACAAAATATGATACATGCCTAGACCTGTCCAAGAAAGAACTAAATGTAAATTGACAACACGGAAAGGATGGATGGGTTTAATATTAGAGTAGCCAAAAATAAAAGTAGACACATGTTAACACTGGGAGCCTTTTTTTGGACAAGGTCACAAAAATAACAGTATCAATATATGAGTAAGAAACAGAACACAAAAAAACTATAATTCTTAAATACTGGATTGTTTTATACATTGATATCTAAATTTAACTGTAATGACTTTCACTTTTTAATCACACTCCTGTGAAACTATCCAGCCTCTGTAATCCAAGTGAAATTCCCCAAATTTATGGATAATGACGGACTCATCAACTTAATTACTAGACACTGATATTCAAACCTATTGTTTTTATATATTATTTAGAAATGTTGATTACCAGTATCTTAATTTTATACTAGAGTACCTATGATTTTAAGGTTAAGACTAAAATGTGGATTGATGAGATACTGTAGGGAAGATAAGAGGTTACACTACCCCCTCACCTATTCATCAAGGCCCCCAATTCACTTTCACGCCCCCATCAGCCCTCCCCCATTTCAAGACTCCCAGATATGCCACTGTTTAAAACACTTATTTTTTTAAGTTATCCGCCACTGCTCAAAACACTTCTTTTTTGTAAACTTATCTACATAATGTGTTCTCCCGAAGCCGTTTTAGCCATCAGTTTTAGCGGTAAAAATACTGTAACAAGCCAACCAGTGAAAATATTGTGCTTGTAAAATAAATAAAAAAAAAAAAACAATTGATAATACTATAGAGCTAGGTAGCCTAGTCTGGTCTCTTTCAATAAATGAACATCATTCCAGTCTATGTCTACGCTGCACAATTCTTGCACTTGGGCCATTTTTGGGGCATAATATCTTACTAATTAAACAATTTATCCCTTTAACAGACTGCATAACTGAAATCAACACAAAAAGTTGTCCTAGAATAAAAGGTTTCATGGCTCTAGACAGTACACGGATAATATTATGCTAATATGAAATCATCAGTAAATACAATTTTATTGCTCAATTCTTGCACTTGGGCCATTTTTGGGGGGACATATCTTACTAATGAAACACTATATTCCTTAACGAACTGCATGCCTGATATAAGCACATAAAGTTGTTTTAGAATTATAAGTTTCAAGGGTCTAGGCAGATTATTTTTAATATTATCGTTATTCAAAAATTAATTTTATCACATTTACGCACTGATACTGTCACAAATTGAAAAATATCCCCTTTTCAAATCGCTTTTTAAACATGAAGGGATAAAGACACCAAGCTGATATTTGGAACATCTGATCATCATATATAAATTAATTAATGGTGCAAGTTTTAACAACAAGCGTACTTGCCCACAGGGTCAAAGGTCACCATGAAAATGAGGCATTTTTGTACATTTTTTGTCCCGAATGACCTTTTGACCTACGATTACCCCCTAAAATGATAAGTTAAAAATCCGCAATTTTTTGTGGTGAAACATTTCCAACTATATATTAATAATTTGGTGCATAAGACCCATTTAATAACTGATTTGGGTATTTTAATGGGGTCTAAAAATGGAAGAAAAATTACGCAACCAAATAAGTTAGGGTGTTTACGAACCAAAATTTTCGTAACGTGGTCCGGTATACCAAAAGTCATGTCATATTCCTGTTCTACAGCCAAAATTTATTCTAGATATCAATTTTTAGTTAATTATCTTTATTCTATTTGAAGATATGGCTAATTGAAAATGCAACTTTACAAATATGTCATAATTGATAGCCAAAAAGGGGTATGACCCTAAAATTTCAAATGGCCATAACTTCTAAACGACTTGGAATTGGCAAGTCAAATTTTGGGTTTGTTTGTCAGACATGTTGGTGCACATTATATCCGAGTTTCAAGAAAATCTGAGACGGTACCCAGCCATCCCATTTGTTGAGTTGGCACGGAATGACCCATTAGCCAAATCAACAGCAGACATAAATCCGCCACTTACAGATTGGTACACACGGCAGGAAACAGAAAACACTTAACTAATCACATCCAAGATAGTACGACGAAAAGTAGGTCAAAATTAAAAATATCAATATTAATTAATAAATATCAATTTTGTCATTATTGCATCACATTTTTGGTGAAAATTTGTTGGCACTTATCATCAGAGGTCAAGGAGTTGATAAGTCTAAGCATAGGGCTTAAACAGGGATGAAAAATGTGAGAGCTTCAAAATTGTATGTTGGATATAAACATCTGGAATGAGCACATGGCGAAAGTAAGGTAAGGTACTAGTGTATATGTTTAAAATTATTTCAATGCGCATGTCAAAGAAAAGTCGAAACATGTAATGTTCGTGCATAAGCATGAAAATATTTGTAAGTATGAATGAGCGTGTGCATTAATTTGGTATTTTAAGAAAATTTTATTTGCTCAGGTCATGCATTCTCTACAACCTTGTACAACAATTGATTTGTGGTTTGTAAACACAGTTTTAGCAAACAGAACAACTGAACAGAATTCAAGGGCATTGTCAAAAGGAATTTTAACAATGAAGCACCACAGGCATTTATTCTCCTGAAGACGATTGAAGCAACTCAATCGAAACGTCAAGATTTTCTCAACTACAACAGTTCTTTTCAGAACTACTTACGTGGTGTACCGCAAGCTTCACATATACATTATTTCTTCGCCATGCAAACCTTCAAGCAATACAATGAAGCACCTGACACTCTAGGTAATAGGTGGGTGTGTTTCAGAATCAGATTCACATCTTATTTATAAAGGATTTTCTTTAATTTGGAAAAATGATGAAATTTTATCAACATATTTTATTTGTCTTTTCCAAATTATCAAAGGAACACAACTGCTCTGAACATTAACTAAAATTAAGAGACAGATTAAAATATAAAATCAAAACAATTTTCTACATGACCCGTTTCCACTGCTAAGAAAATGAATGGTTTTGAAATACTTCTTTTACAACATTTTTTCTTTGGCAGTCAAAACTTTAAACTGTTTAATTAAAAGCCCATTATAATCAATTATTGTAAATTTTCTGAAACAAAAATGTTATTTTCAAATAATAAAAGTGAATAGATAAGTATAAAAAAAATTATTCCCTTTTATAGATTCAATAAGGCATATGTCAAAGGTCAAGGCTCTATCACAGATCTTGAATGAAAGGAACGTACATATCAATTGTGTTTCAAATTATATTTGTGAATGAAAGTGAAAGCCTAGATTGTTTGTTTATGTGCCTTGACCGCTGACATAGTTATAGGCAGTTGAAGATACAAGATGGCTTTAATGTATTTTATTCATCTTCTAAATGATTACTGCTAATGACCATGGATTAATGGAAACATTTTGTAAAGCTTTGCAAGGGGATACCCCTCCTCATTGCATCATAAGCAAAAGACAAAAAATGAACAGTCTTCCAAAAGTAAGCCTACAAAATATCATACATGCCTAGACCTGTCCAAAAAAGAACTAAATGTTACTTGTACAGTTACTATATTTAATGTGAATTGACAACACAGAAAGGATGGATAGAGTAGACAAAAATAAAAGTAGACACATGTTAACACTGGGAGCCTTTTTTTGGACAAGGTCACAAAAATAACAGTATCAATGTATGAATAAGAAACAGAAGTTATACACGAAAAACTATAATTCTTAAATACTGAATGGTTTTATACATTGATATCTAAATTACTCTAATGATTTTCACTTTTTAATCACACTCCTGTGAAACTCAAAAAGGATAGCTTCTCCCCCAACTCAACCCAAACTATCCAGCCTCTGTAATCCAAGTGAGATTCCCCAAATTTATGGATAATGAGCAGTAATTTCACTATCAAATGCACTACTACATCGTACTGTATCTTAATTTATATTAAGTGATATTACCAGGAAGTTGTATAATCCCATAATTGTGAAGTACTGACTAACAGTATCTGGTTATTGGAAGACAACTGACGGACTCATCAACTTAATTACTAGACACTGATATTCAAACCTATTTTTTAAATATATTATTTAGAAATGTTGATTACCAGTATCTTAATTTTATACTAGAGTACCTATGATTTTAAGGTTAAGACTAAAATGTGGATTGATGAGATACTGTACCCCTCACCTAATCATCAAGGCCCCCAATTTACTTTCACGCCCCCATCAGCCCTCCCCCATTTCAAGACTCCTAGATACAGTATGCCACTGTTTAAAACACTTATTTTTTAAAAAGTTATCCGCCACTACTTAAAACACTTCTTTTTTGTAAAGTTATCTACATATGGTGTTCTCCCGAAGCCGTTTTAGCCATCAGTTTTAGCGGTAAAAATAACAAGCCAACCAGTGAAAATATTGTGCTTGTAAAATAAATAATAAAAATAAAAAAAACAATTGATAATACTATAGAGCTAGGTAGCCTAGTCTGGTCTCTTTCAATAAATGAACATCATTCCAGTCTATGTCTAGGCCATGTTTTTTCAAGTCATTAAACCCCACTCAAAAGGGGTGTACAACATCTTACACTGCGTGCATAGCTGAATTTTCAAGAACAAGTTTACTGGTAAGAAATGTTTCAATTGGGAGAACACTGACAAAATTAAAACCTAATCAAAATAGATTAGTATTCATAATTACAATTTAATCTTTCATACTTAGGAAAGCCCTCACAAGTCATAGCCTTAGTAAAGTCGCACCTGTAAAAATATTCACAACATGGTGGCAATTTGTCGGTTTATCCCGGTACTGGTAAGGTCTTTGTAACCCTGTCACATGGTGGCTATACAGTTAGCGCTTACTGTATAGACACTACATTTAAGTAACTAAGAAGCAAAGTTTTCATGAAGCTGGACTAAAATATGCCCAGTACCTAAAATATATGTCTGTAACTTAAACAAAATATGATTTTCATCATTTGTAAGACACCAAAAAAACAAATGAGAAAAAAAAAATCTTTATTTCTGTACTATTGGGTCATTTGTAAAGATGGTAGAAAAAATAATATGAATTTTAGCAAACTTTCTTCATTGGGTAACAAAAAGGGACATTGCACACACTTTGTATTATAATATCATGATGATCCATTCCTAAAATTGATTACCAGCCAATACCACACATGCGCTTATGAAAAAATTTAAGAACAGTATCTTGTTAGTTAATTTGCAAAAAAAAAAAAACCACCCATAATTATATTGTAATTTAAAATTTGCACACAAATTTTAGGTCAATACACAGACACTTTTTTATTGTACATTTGTAGGGCGAGAATTTTTTTATTACTTTGTTTAGCAAACTTCTTGCCCACAAATAATGATGTTTTTGAATAAAATTTTATTTTTGGCCAATTAGCACACCTGCTGCTACAACAAAATGGACATTTCAGAAATTTTGTTTTCTCCGGCATGAAATCCAAAATTAACATGCATTTCTTCCAAATAATATAAATTTGAAGCATTTATCCATCCAATTACTACACTGCTTACATTCACCAATACAAAATTATTTCTTTTCTCCTCCATCTGGATATTTTTGGCAAAACTATTTGCTAATTAATAAGAAAATGAAATTTTATTTTAATTTTTTTCCCTCCCTCCTTTGATGATCTTTAAAAAAATGAGGTATAAAAAAAGTCTCGCCTAAGCATTTAGTATTCATTGTAATTAATAAGTTGACATGTGTTGTAAATTACTGTATATGCCACATTGAAAACAAACACTGAATAGCTTTGGTTTCATAATAATATTAGCAGAGAGTAACTGGAAGGATCAAATACACAAGTATTACTGTAGAGGTACGTCTACCATGAAATTAATGGTTCCTGTGTACATTTAATTCTTAATATCAAAGTTACTGTTAGTTCAACTGAAGATTCATCCAACTACACTGTTTACGTTAACTATTTCCTGAATCCTATACATCAAAATGTAAATTCATGAAATCAATTTACAAAAGTAGGAAGTCTTCCAAAGGAGTGACCAACACTAGGCCTATTGATGTTTTCCTGTGAAATTTAGGACAAGGTGACACTGGGGGATTTTTAACAGTGGATATCTAGAACTGCAATTCATTAACACAGCATGTGATTATCTGTGGTGAATATTGCGCAGGGGAACTTCAACACGAAGCTTGAGACTAAAGAATGCAAAAATTTGGTCTTACTGTAAAAAATCCCTAATTGGAAGAAGCCACTTCCGGAAGATATTAAATAAGCTATCTTAATGCATTTAACCCGGTGAAACCTACTGCAAGTTGACTTCCAGCAGACTAGTGATAGTGGTATACAGTGAGTAAAATTATGCAAAATATCATAAATTTGCGTATGCTGGTGGTTACAGTTAGTTTCTGGGATATTTTTGCTTGCGACCTGCGGGTGATTTCGTTACACTTATTGATGCAATACATGTAGGAAAACATGTCTTAATCGTCATTATGGAAAAATCCAAGAATGTATAAACTGTAGGCCTATAGAGCATCAGTACCACCTGGGCTTTATTGTATCTTGGTATAATAAAATGCTACTCAGGGGACCTAAGGTTGGAATCCTGATGGGAGAATAGACCGTTTTCTCAAAATATCAGATGATGACGCCATTTTCTCTACCAATCCATTAAAATGTTATTGTATGTAAAATTATAATAGACTTTTAAAATAAAATATCTTCAATGAATCTTGATACTTATACTCTGAACTCAGGATTCAATATTTCAACATTAATTATGTCATCATCAGGAATATATCCTAGCCTAACTACTAGGCCTGGCCTTAGGGCACATAGAAACAAAATTTTTAGATTATCACTCCAGTCACAAAATTGCATTGTTATATTTCATGCTGTTGAAATAATTGATGCGACAAAAAAAAAATTGTTTATTCCCGCATCAATATTTCCCCGAATTTTTGACGCGGATGGGAGTGATAATCTAATAAATTTTTCTATTTGCCCTTAGGATCACAGTAATATTAGACCATGGCAAGATGCTGTCTGTCTCTTGACAGTTTTACCCACTGAGGTTTTACCTTAGAGAAAATAGAATATCCATGGTTTTATTTACCAAGCCAAGCTTGGTGGTGGTATACACAAGGACATGTGTGAAATGTCAACTCCTCAACAGGTCTTTTCCAAAAGTCTTCTTTGTTTGGTTGGTACTACAATGTCAAATGACATGGGGACTTAATATTCAGTGTTTTTCTTATTGTAATAACAAACCTTGCCTACCTACTGTAGTTCAACAAGACAGTGGAGAAGGCGTGTGGGTCTGCTGCGTGCGATAATTAGCTCACACTGGACTGGTAGTTATCCTAAAGAAGGTCTAGGGCCTAGACTAGGCCTAGCCCCTAGCCAATTCTTCACACAGATTTAATATAAATACCTAATGTTTAAAAACAAAAATCAAAAAACATACCTTGCGTTCAGTCAACGGAACTGCCTCTACCATAAAAAAGGTAAAGGATGTTAAACAAATCCATCCTAGCGAAATTTTCATTTGACGCATTCCACCTTTCTCCTCTACCTCGCGCACCAACACAATGTTTAATGTTTGAGAAAAACCAGAGTATCCAGTTAATATACTCAAAGATACTAGAAATACAAGATAGAGTTCTCGCATTGTAAAAATGAGGCGGAAGTCGTGCCCAACGTAGGCGGCGCCCTTCTTTTTAACCATGCAAGTTTCCTATACTTCGTGCCCAACGTACAGGGCGCCCTTCTGTTGCTCAGTATATCCAGACGCAAAAGGCGCCCTTCCTTTTCCACTAATGGAGGAAAACTTTTTCACTAAGAGTGCGTCCGGCCATGCGATTCTGCGCTTTATTGTTGTTTTATTCTTTACTGATTCATGGTTATCCTTTAATTGTTTTGTGTATTATTTGGATAATAGCAACGTTTTCTACCGCCACCAAGGAGGTTATGTATTCACCAATGTCACTGTTTGGGTGTCTATTCCAGTTTGTTTTTATATCTAGCATCTTTGTGCAGACGGCGCGCCGTCTCGGACTGTCGGTGTGGCTGTCTCTTATACACATCTAGATGTTTTTTTAGATCCAGCTGTAGGGGGCGTCCCATTTTTCGTATTCCCACCATGCATTTCGGTGGAACACGGTGGAACACTTTTTTTGTGTGGAGAACTCTATCTTGTATTTCTAGTATCTTTGATATACTGTGTAAGGTATGGTACCGGAAAATTGTGCCAGGGGGCGCTCTTCAGTATTCATTGCAACTCACTTTCAGATCAGTGGCACACATCTAGTAAGGTGGTGCGTCCATAAGATATATATAAAATGAACAAAATGTAAAACGATCTTAAAATTAAAGAGAAAATTATTAAAATAAACCAACTTAATTAAGGTGTTAAAGTACAAAAAAAAAACATATATAAATATTCAATTAAACAATAAGCTTAATGTTGAATAATAAAAAATGTTACAGTATCTAATAAGCAGTTATTATGGGACAGAGTAATAATGATACAGTTTGAGTATGTTATGCTAGATTCTTTCTTTTTTCTTTCTTTTTTTAGTTAACTAATGAAATTACGGAAAGAAGCTAAAGAAAACGATCAAGTAATACAAATTAAAACATAAGCTCATTTGGTTAATGGCAATTAACTAAATAAAAAATCGGATATGAAATTAAAGTAGGCCTACTGCCTGCAAATAAAAACCTCAAAGATTCAATTAAAAAAATTAATAGCTCATTTAAAAGGATCAAGTAATTATTACGGTACCTGCTAAAACAGAAATAGATCGAGGGGAAAATTACATTTTACTAAAAAAAGAAGAAAAAAAAAAACACCCTAATCTATAAAAAAAAAAAAAAAAAATAGGCAATTAAAATGTATTTTTCTTCAAATTTTTAGCGCATGACAGACAGGCTTCATCTTTAACTATGGAGCTTCCAAGTAGCTTCTGCATGGACCCTCAGCCTACCGCAAAACCTCAAATTGCCCTGGACTTGGGAATTACTCTTAAAAGAAATAAATAGGGCCACTGTAACATCAATCTGTATCATTGAGTCATATTAACTGGTATTAAATCACCTAAAATATTGTATAAACCTGGCGTGCTTTTAATTTAATGTGTTTCTTTGATTCATGTACAGTGGATGTAAGCCTACTGTACTATCTCGAAAAGAACCCCATGGGCTTCTTTTCGAGGCTACTTTTGCAAACTAATGAGGGCTTCATTTCGAGATGGGTTTCTTCTCAAGATGATGCACATTGGGCTTCAATTCGAGGTTTTACGGTATACATATACAGATCATATGGCCCCATGGAATACTCCAGCCATTCCCCATCCATATTGGAGGTTCCGTCTCATGCCTTTAATTCATATCAGTGCCACTCTCGCCTCCTTTCAAAGAAGACCTTTCGCACTTTATAAATCTGAAGTTTTTTTTGTTTGTTATTAAAGCCAATGGAGATCCGTACATCAGGGGGGGGGGGGGGGGGGGGGGGGGTATATGAAAATACTTAATAACATCACAAAACAACCATATGTACAAACTACATTATTTAACTATGCCAACACAGAGTCTTTATCCAGTCCACAAAACGATGAACTATGCCAACACAGAGTCTTTATCCAGTCCACAAAACGATGAAGTCTCACTTAATTTCACTACAAGACTTCATTCAAAAATTAATTGTATGAATCATACACGTTGCGTTGATACACGAGAGAGAGATATTTTCGTATTCGATTTGGTCACACAAAAAAAAAATAATTCTAGATGTGTATAAGAGACAGATATATATATATATATATATATATATATACATATATATATATATAATTGAATATATCATCATTTAATAATATCAATATCATCCTCATATCATCATCATTCTATTATCATCATTCTTTTTAAATGCGCTTCATTCTTATTTTCACACAATGTAATTATATTTTCTCAATGTGATTCTAATGTTTAAATTGTCATTTCTCTGGGATATTTTATTTATTTATTTATTTTTATTTTTTAATTTTTTTTTTATATATACATACTTGTTTTTTTTGGGGGGTTTTCTTTAAAGTCCTTATTGATGTTTTTTTTATGTCTTATGTGATTTAAATTTTTATCTTTATCATATTTTATGAGGGAGGGGGCAGCTGGCTTGAAAAGTTATAGTGATTTGTTGGCTTAAGCTTCCCCGACAAACTTTTGGTCAAATAAATAAACTGAAAGTGAAACTGAATCATTGTATTATCAAGTAGGCCTACGTCTCAGTACGTTTTTCTGAATCTCGGGCTGACACCAACGCAGAGCCATTTGTCGCGTCTGACGCTCTTCGATTAGCGAATGATCGTCGTATTTGTTCTCGAGCATTTTCAAATTTACCTCAGGAGCGTCAACGTTACGTATATCATTTAAATTGCACAGCTTTTTCATTTTATCCACCAGAAACGTATCGACATACAATACCCATTGTATATATAATGTTTCATATACGAGGCTCGATGTTTATGTGATTTCTCATTCTTAAATATTGAAATACATATCAGAAAGACATATTTTACAACATTACACAACAGTGAAATAAAAGTAAGCCATAATTTAACTAAAACAACACATCGTTGTTGATTTAATAAGAATACTGTAGTAGTAATACAATAGGCCTACGCCTAATTATAGGCCTAAATTGTGATGCTGGCGTTGGTTGCTTTACTATTGGTATCCAACTAGCATTCACCAGGAAACGTCATCTTTATTGTGTAATATCGAATTCATCCTTGATATATTACGTGGAACTAAAACAAAAACGGATGTTACTGTTTATGATCGAAATCCCTTTAGAGAGAGCCATGTATGGGAGATCAGTGATAACCTGTTGAGACAGGCTTCCCAGTCAAAATATTAAATATAAAACACGCTTATAATTCTAACTCATTGGTATACACGTAAACAATCATGATTGATTTGAAATTCTTTTTATCTAACTACAGTGTACGGAGGCCAACCGTAGATAGGACTATGTAATCTAAAAGAAAATGTACTGTTCAAAGTGTTCAGGTATCTTCGAAAATTATGAAGGTACGGTAACTAAACTGAAAAAACAAAATCACATTTTGACCCAGAAATTGGCTAAAACAAACCCCAAAGAACAAAAAACAACAACAAAGAACACATGGCTGTATAGAATGTTACTGGTTCCTATAAAAATATTGTTAATATTTCATTATGAGAAAATACTTGCGGTAGGCCTACACCGCGAGATGGTCCGTTGCGTGTTGACAACATCTTCTTTTAAGAACCTACTTGGCGTGACAAAGCATTTACCGATTGTTACTGTACTTCGCCATGCAAAAATTTCAAAGAATGCTATTGGTATTTTCATTGTCTTCGTTATTGTTATTATTACGCCATTTAATATTATATGAAGTGCCTGTCTCTTATACACATCTAGATGTGTATAAGAGACAGTTTATAAGTAGGCTCTATTTACTACATTCATCACGATTCTTAGCTAATAAACTTTAAAAATGAAAGTAAATTTTAACTGTCACAACACTTAACCTTCACATGTCTTCAATTGTTTTAATTGCTGATTTTAAATTGACAATGAAAATTTCTTTGAATATAAATGGATAAATCATACAATAATCATGAATAATATTACAGCATTTTAGCTATAATAAGAAGTAGCATAGACCTAATAATAAATGATTCGATCACTTGCCTGTCTTTGCTCTTGTTGCTTATGAGATCTTTTAATCTTTAAAAGAGTTGTAAATGAATCAAATATAGAACATTTTAAATTTTATTCAGCAAATAGTGATGATCCCGACTCAGCTTATAACCAACTTGTAAATGTCTTTATAACTGATCTATATAAAAAAGATATGATAATTTCTTTTATCTAGCTTCCAGCAAAAATATTTGTTTTTCTATTTTTTTTGTACAGACCCAAAAAACCAAAATTCAGCAGGCCCCAGTTCTAGAGCTGTGTCTTAATGGAAGTTGACATTTTTAATTTATCCTTTTTTAATGTCTTTCCGGGTTGTCAGTCAAACCACCTCTTTGATCCAACTTATGCAGTATAACAATACAACCGACTAGAACATGACCAGAAGTGGACTGTGTTGACGAAGGATCCCACTGGAAAGAGGTCTTACTTGCCTTTCATAGGCTTTCCTTTCCTTGTGTTTTTCCCGTTCCTGTCGTCTTTTTTTTTCATAATTTGACTTTGTTTTTGAAGTAAAGCTTTTATTTACTTAAATAAAATAATTAAGATATTTATTCATAATTGAATTTAAAAAATAATAATTAAAAAAAATTATTGTTTATTAGATTAAGGTTAATTATTTAACCTTTGTATATATTTTTTGTATTGATTTATGTATTTTACTATGTATATTGAGATGCGAATAAATTCAATTCAATTCACGAAAGCTTATGCTAATATATATCTCAAATGGGCTACTTCAGTTCATAGTCAGAGTATGGCACAATTATTAAACATGCTAACATTTTTATTGCATTATGATCCAACAACGTAATAGTACGTGATGAAATCGTCTCAAGAATTAAAATGAATATCAATGCCAAGCCCACAGTCACTACATAAAAATTCTGAAGATAGAAAGTCAATGCGGACTTACAGATTCCATTTTTGCTAACCAGTTGCCAAAATGTCGGAGTAATCCCTACCCGAAAAATACGATTGAGGCTGAAAAGACTGCATTTAATTATTAGACGAAAAACATTCGTGATGTACAGTAGTAATATAATAAACTTGTACCGTATTGGTTGTGGTAGGGTAGGAGGGACGGGCCTTTCTAGATTCTAGAACTGGGGGACTGAAGCTTTTGTTTAGTGGTAAGTTAACAGGAGCCTGGGGACTCTGTGGGGCCCTTTTGGCTTGGGGTATAGGGGCTTCACCAAGTGTTGGATACCACTATTTATAGGCCTATTTTGTTATTTCGGAGTTCCAAGAAGGTATTTCCATGAGCTGGTAAGTGAGCTTTCTTATAAATGCACCTTATTGTATTTGCGTGTGATGATGAAATATAGAAATTTTAAATCAAACTAACATCAATAAATCAACCAAATCAATCAAACCAAAGGGAATTGTATAGCGCCAATACCCACAGCAGAATGCAATGCTCAGTGACAATGGTGTTAATCAAATTAATTACTATTACAGTATTGCAAAATTACAAAAAAAAAAAAAATCCACTACAATTTACATGTGTGTCAAAAGCTGCCTTCATGGAGATTATTGATAATAAGAAAACATTCAAATATAAGTTTGTGGAAAATGGGCTATTTTTTGGGAAAATTGTGCTTGCTCGTGTGTACAGGCGCGCGGCCTTCCCAACTTTCGAGAGAACCCATGACCTGAGGGAAAAATATATGTTAAATAATTGCTAAAAATACTTGCAAAATGAAGTGCTATATTGTTAAATTTCATTATTTTAAATATTAACAAATTTCTTAACACATTCAGCGTTCCCAAGTTCTCCGTCAAACAACTTTCTTTCTGTCTTAGAAAAATCAGTTCTTCAACATATCAACATTGTTTTCTTCCTCCGGATTGTGACTTTAAGGCAAGGATTGTAAATTACACATTTCTTTGGTTAGTATCTGTATTCACATTTTTGCAACAAAGGAACATTTCTGGAAAGTCATGTTGAGACCAACTGGGATTACAAATTGCAACAATGATATTTGAACAGGGACAATAACGGCCTGTTTCACTAAGCTCCGCCCCTTGGATATTGTTGCTAAGGTCCCATATATTCCTGGTCCTGCTCTGATTGGTCAGTTGTTAATTTTATTTAAAATTTCTATATTTTATTATAAGACTCAACAATAATAATAATAATAATAATAATAATAATAATAGTGACGATGATAATAATAATAATGATGATGATGATAATAATAATTATTATTATATTATTATTATTTTTATTATTTAAAATTTATATATTTTATTATATATTATAAGACTCGTTATTTCTCAAACAGCACCAGGCCTATATGAGACAAGGCAACATTAGGCCTTTTATTACCCCTAGGCAGCAGATCCCTAATTGGCAAGCTGCGGCACCAAGTACAACTTCTCTGCTTCCCGTGTAACATATGGTACCTATTCATATGATATATTATCAAATACCAATAACATTAATTGCCGCACCACCATTATTGGAAAGTCAAAAAAGGTAGTTATTTCAGAAAAAATGGTTGAGTACAAATTCAAGAATAATATTAAGAAAATAAGACCAGATAAATTCAAAAAATTTAGTTTTATTAAACCAAGAATACAAAAACATGAATATCTAAAATATTTTCTTGTACAAGGGAAGAATATACATACAGTACACAATAAATATATTTACTTTTACATAAGTACCCTTGTATAGTATTGCAGCCAGTAATCAACAATTTGAAAATACCAGTTTATACTCATAGATATGGAGATAAAGTAGGTAATGTAACATGCCTTACTCAACAATACAGGCAATATACTCTGATTGATCGATTAAATTTGATTTAAAACTGAAATGTCAATTGTGAATTTCTATGGTTTATTCTATTTTATAAGACTCATTATACACACAAATGAGCATTTAAAATACTACGTTGTTAAAAAAAGAAATATATACTGTATACAGTATAAAATATACATTATACTTTTACATAAGATTGCATATTAAAAACAAGAATATTTTCATTATATAGGCCTAATAATACATTATAGTATTGCAGCTAATAATCAGCGATATAAAAAAAAATACCAGTTGATACTGAGTTGAGTTGAAGACCTGATTAACGTAACATGCATAACCCAGCAACACAGGCAACACTAACAACATGGAACTTAAACATGTGACCAGTAGGCTATACCTTAATAAAACATCATTAATCAGGAAACCATGATTAAACAATTCATCTTTTTAACAATGAATACAAACATTCAAATTAAGACAATGATTATGGACATAATTGCATATAACCACAGAAAATTGTATTTACAAATATTAACAAGGCTTATTTATTTCACACTATTTTCTCACCTCTTCTATCTCTCATCTCGTATATAATTAACAAATGCTGTTAGCTTAGCTGTAAGCATAACTAATCATAAGTTTTGAGATCTAGCTGGCAGTTGCTCATATTTAAGCACAAATTGATACAATAAAATGCCATTAATTTAGAATATTTGTTTTTAAAATATAGTACTCATTAAGTCATACACACTCACCCCTGTCTCTTATACACATCTAGATGTTTATAAGAGACAGGTTGTCAGTCAAACCACCTCTTTGATCCAACTTATGCAGTATAACAATACAACCGACTAGAACATGACCAGAAGTGGACTGTGTTGACGAAGGATCCCACTGGAAAGAGGAATATATATATATATATATATATACAGTATATATATATATATATATATATATTATTATACCATGATATATATTATATGTATATATAATAAGCAAATAGTTAAATAACAGTTTTAATATATACACATTATATATACATACTGTATATAACAAACTAGTACTGTATACACAAACCAAGTATATAACATATACAGTAAGCCTGTTATATATTTCTTATAGTATATTTGATACATTATTGCTTTACATTTTATTATTTTTTTTCTTTTTTTTGAATATTAGCTTGACACACACTCCTAAGGCTATTGTCTTTTTACTCCATAAATCTTGCTTCACGTCATGTCTGTATATTTGTCTAACATCTATAATATATGTTTATATTGTTTTACTTGGACTTTATGCTTTACATATGATGTAGTCTTGCAGCTGAAAACATTTGACATCTCATTAATAAATTTTGGAAAATATATAACTTGTTCCCAAGTTCTATTATATATATCTACACTTTTCCAAGCAGCAACTCTTATTTTCCTGTTATATTAACATATAATTTATACATATACAAATATATATATATTTTAAATATAGTCTTGTATATATAATCATTTTATTTGGTGAAAAACCTCACAATTTCAGAAGGCAAGCCTATGATTATGCATAACATTATCAAAACAATTATGAAATTTACAAATAACCTATATCATTCCTTGAATTATTAAAATCATTTACAATTCTAAAAATTTATTTATAATTCAGATATCTTTATTATATAAATTCAGGTATCAAATTACCAAAGAGTTTCTATAAGATAATATATCAAATCAGAAATGTGCTTTTAAAATAATATACAGCTGTAACCCATACTATGGACAGCATATTGTACAACAGATCTACACATGTTGAATATGTTATGGAAACAAACAAAACAAATGGAGACAATTACCAATATGTTGGTAATTGTAGTACTGTACTGTGTACATAAATTCAGTATACTAGGAATATATACGAATGTGCACATAATGGTTAATGCTATGGAATGGATATAAAAAATGCTTGTATTTTACTATTAACTTAGACTATTTAGAGTACGTTCTACCGTTACAGTTTCTATTGTACATGCCTACTTTGTTTAACCTATACCTGGGCCTACACTTAATTTCAAACTGCAGTATTATTATCGAATAATAATCTCAAAACCACCTAGCAGTTCATGCAATATGATAAGCACTTATTATTTAAAACTGTATAATGTTTTATTTCTTTTGGTTATGTATTGATCAATAAATCAACGGCAGAGCGATTAATGCTGCCATAACATGGGGGCTGGTTCAAATGGCATGCTCACATATGGATCTGGAACAAGTCTTCTTGGATAAGAACTATAAACTGTAGCCCAAGTGTACACAATTTGTCTTGTGTGCACAAGACTCTCAGGGAAAAAGCAAGTTACTGCAAGAGATAGTCCACACCTTCAATTCCTTGAGACCATTTTGCAATAAAGCATAATATAAATCTAACCACATTACAAAAGTGGTAACTGCACCAAGATAGATATAAAGTCTAAACTATTTTGCACACCAAACCTGATTTGAATATTATATATAGGGTTGGACAAATTAGCACCCAATTTTATTGGTATGTAGTTTGCTAAGCTAAAAATCAACCAAAAATTTGCTTTGAGCATGAAAATCACATGGAATTACATATAAGCTGCAAAATTACTAAAGATGAAAGCAAGATTGAACCCTATAATTTTCAATTATCAATACAAATTTGACACTCCCACTCTGTGGTTGATGATGTGACGGAAGAGGAACAAGTGGTGTTTTTATGGTACCATCTACCACACACATCACACGTAATCCACTCATTAGAGCTGTTCCTTCCATTGCATGAGTCACAATTCTGTGACCTCTTGCCTTTCGCCAGAAACATTTGCTTTACAAATGCCCGCATCTTGTTGGCATTCTCTTGATTTAAACAGTTGGGGAATACATGCTTGCTGATTGCCAATGCATTCTGAAAAAAAAGAACATGGCTTGAAACATGGTATCATTGGCGAGGCACAATACAATGCTAGGGTACATTTTCACGAAAATAATGATGTAGAACAGTTGTATTATTGTGAAAATAATAAGTACCAATTTTAGCAATATGTTACTGATGCTGATTAAAAGGATTATAAAACACATGCCATTATTATATTTATTAAGAAAGATAAAATATTTGTTCTGAATGACTAATGAGTGATTATTTTACACTATCATAGTTACGTTGTACTGTATCAGAAAGAAATAGAAAATGCAAAAAGAAGTATGAAAGAACAAGCAAGAGCATGTATGAGTCATGTAGCATGTTAACTGGTTTTTAACGCATATTTGCTTAAATATGACTCTTGGTATAAAAGTCAGTCATGTATATGTTGCATACCATCATCACAAAGTCCCCACAACTGTAGCCGTTTTCTTGCTTGCCTGAGAACAATTGTGTGTTCTTCTTCCACTCTCCATCAAGTTCCCTTGTTTTTGATGCCCTCTCTTTCATGTATTTACTAAAAATAGTTATAGAAAATTAACATTTTTAAAGATTGTATAAATGTACACAGTATTGTCTGTATATGAATTAAGTAATTTGAAATAGAAGGGGTCCAAAGAGGGACTTTCACAGACGGAGGTCAAAACTAGATCAGCCCCAACATGGTTGGGACTGAGGTAATAAAATTTGATAATGGCACCTCTAGATAGCTGGAAATGGCATTATTAGACTCCAAATTTGAGTAAAATTTTCTTTTTTTCTCAATTTTGTTTAAATTTTGAAAAATATAGGGCAGATTCAAGGGGCCCCTTGAATCCGCCACTGTAATTTGAATAAATATGAATTAGGGTGGTATAAAACATTGTGATACCTTACAGGCTATATATCATATTTGTCATGACCAAAATAATTACCTGAAATTTTCAAGATGTGTATCATCGTCTCCATTCAATGAATCAAGAACACAAGCACTCATTGATGGGATGTGTGCAACAAGCAAGATCCAGTGGTTTGATACATGAATAGGTGCAAAAATCCAAGTAAATTTTAACATGGCAATCTGCATCAAAAAACATATAAACCAAAATTTCTAAGTTTGTGTATTTCAAATTAAATACAATGCATTGTTGGTACAATTATGATCTATATTATTGTTTCATATTTTCATATCACATATTTTGGAACACTTTTTAAGAAGTTGCATCACTTTCCTGTGATGGAAGAACTGTGTAACACATTCACGGAAAATACAAAGACCAAGAATGGTGAAAAAGCAGGGATGAAGTATATACTACATTGAAGTCAATTAATGAAGCTTGAATAATATGGTTATAAAAATTAATATAAGATGGCTCCAGTGAAAAGAGCAAAACAAATGTTACAATCTTGGTTTAATTTTTTTTCCCAGCATAATCTATATTTCCAGTCAGATTTTTAAATAAAACTTAAATTTACCTTTGTTGCCATCCAGGGTGGTAAGTGTGGGTTATCCCACTTAGTTGCTATATGCGATGGCAGTAGAAATATACGGCCTTTACCCTGTTTGTTAAATTCGAAAGTCAAAGTTGCAAGAAAAGCATTTATCACCTGCAATAAAATGTTTAAATATACCAATTTAGTGCACAATTGTCATTAATATTAAATAAAAACTTGTATGCTTAAATTATTATTATTTTATTTAAGTGTAAAAAGAAGCATTTTAACAGCACAATGAATGAATGCACTTCAACTATTCATTATGTCACTATTTTGAATTACTGACATTTACTGTTATTTAGGTGGATTCTAGGGAAGTCTTTTCCAAAGATAATGAAACATGATTACATAATACCTTAAAAGTAAGTAGTAAATGATGTAAAAAGTATTGTGTCGTTCACACTCTCTACATGCACTTAATTAAGCCATGACCTGGGTTTTTTTGTCACATTCCTTTTATTGTGTTTTTTAATAAAGAATGATCTTACTGAATGATGTAATATGATGACATCAATGATATTTTATGTGTATTTTTTTTTACTAGTTTTTGATATCATAATTGAAGTCGTTTGTGCAGCCTGCTCTACTATTATCTGTGGGTAATATATCCTGCTAAAGGAGTATGTGCATCAATTATCTAATCATTATCATATTCTTACTTTATCACTAATCCAATCATAACCATTCAGTTCCTGTAAGTCTTTCTTGCTAACAGAAAATTTTGGCACATATAGACAATCTTCATCCTTCATTGCATTGACATCAATAATTGTTTCTGATGGGTCTATTTGGAACAGCTGTGATGAATCTGGAAGAACAATATATTTGAGCGTGTTAGCACAGAATCTATAATCACATCAGGACAAGCAAGTATTTTGATATCTGGATTTAGACATTGTTTACAACTATTTTACAAGATTAATCAAGAAAGCCTGAGGCTAGGAACTTAAGTGTTCTGACAAGGTTGTCAGTATAGGCTGACAGACAGTTTGAGTCCCCAAGAAATAATTAAAGTGAGAAGCAGTCAATTAAACCATAATTAAGTATACTGCATAATAGCTGTAAATGAGAAAGCTTGGCAGAGCCAAAAAAACAAACAAAGTGAATGCACAGGACAAGTTCAAAATAAAAAATCTAATCCTTTGGAATTGTTTAAACCTCTGAATTGAGTTAGAAGGTTCAATCCCTCACTGTGCATTTCGCTTGTGTCCTTAGACAAGTTCGTCTCTCTCCACCCAGGATTAAAGTGGGTACATGGTAAGTTAAAAATGCACTGATTACAGCTGCAACATAGAATTAGCATGTCATTAGGGTTAGATTAATTATTACTTTCTTAGTTTGTCAGTTCTTTTCTTCATGTTTATGTTAAGTGCATAGAGGTCTCTATAATATGCCCTCTATAAAGTCGACCACTATTATTATTAACATCATGACGTTTTCTAATTTTTAAAAACTATATGTTATATATTCAAAAATATATAGTACCTCTTGAGAAAGTCTTTATAAAGTCATCCTCGAATATTTCTGCTGCTTTAGCTGGAATAGCACCTAAAAAAACTTGTGAGAATCAGTATCAGCATCACTGAGTAAGTTAATACAGAAATCAAAATATACCCTGGTATCCCACATTAATACATATAAATAATATTTTCCCCTTATAAACAATTAATACTTTCAATTTTACCTAGCAATAATAGTCTGAATCAGTGCCTCCAGCTAATACCGGTCACGTGACATATAGTGGGTACTAAATGTAAACAGCCACTAGTAACTACTAACGTCCTATGATTTAATTTTGGATTTAAAATAACTGTAAAATACATACTCTTGCAACGAATGGGGACATTAATTTTTTTTCTTTCATAGCATTTGCCATAAATAATATATTTTTGATTTAGGCCTAAAAGTACCTCAGCCAGCAACGACTCCACTGGAGCAACATGCACATCGTGAGCATACCGTACCTTTACTTGAAAAAAAAATTCCAGGCTTTATTCCAACTATCCATTGGAGCCTTACCAAACCAATCTGATAGTGTTTGAAAATTTAACAATTCAACAGTTGAATGGTATCGATGATATACAAATTCCAATGGCTATATAAGTTAAAGTATTATTGAGCCTTAATACTACATTACACTAATCGCTCCCACATATCTTTACAGTAAGTTCACTTTAGAAAGTACAATGGGACAGAACTTTGCAGCATGCAGTGGTGGCATTAGCAAGGATCGTAAGAAGAATGTCAAACTAAATTAATTTACTGATCTGAAGTTATTGTGGTATTTACTATTTCTTTATAATGTAGGTTAGGGCTTTTATCTTGTTTGCCAATGCCATACAGCAATGTTGGTTAGCTCATCTTGCAAGCCTACCAAGAAATACTCTTTCTGCAACCCTGTACATCTTTACCGGGTAGCTCAAACACGAAGAGACCCTTAAGGGAGAAGCAACGTACTGTAAGAGCTAGTCCACATCTCGAGCGCTTTGAGCCCGTTTTGGTGTAAAGTGCTATATACTGTATATATACATTACATTACATAAAACCTACTGGTACTCTAGAACAAATTATTACTGACCTCTACATGGAAAGAATAAATAATTGTAATAATTTAATTATAATGATCTTATTGCAAGATTCTTGAAAAAGTAGAATTCACTGTATATTGAAATATTCTTTAATTATATACATGAGGTGGATGAACATCCATCATGGAATTAATATTTTTCCAGAAGAGGTACAAAGTGATTTGGAGAGAAAAATTTACACTCACCAGATGTTATTAGGTTCTCAATATTTTTATCACGTGGTTGGATGAGTATATTTAATGGGTTTTCTTTGGTGTCACCTATGGCAGGATAGACGGACTGAATGTTACATCCCAGCACAGACGCTAAGCCAAATAATTGAATTAAATTTCCATTTAAACTGAATTGTTCTTTCAGTGTGTCCCTGACACAACTCTCATAGAGTGCTAGTATGGTAGCATCATTGAAAACATTATCACCCCTCATCTTTTGAAGTTCATACACTGCCTTCATACGCTGCAAAAGTACCTCTTGCTTTAGGTAATGTTCCTTTTTACAGCAGAGCTCAATCACAGTAAGTAGACGTAGTTTGCAGCAATGATCCGCAGAGCCAAATGCTATTTTGGATGTTGCCAAAAATAAGCAATTACCATCCACAATGACCTTGATCATGCACGGATCAATCTCAATGTCTGAGTTACCCTTTGAACTTAGACAATTTTTCAGAGCCCTATTTTTTGGGAGTTCACTTTTTAGTAAGTGACAAACTCCAATAAGTTTATCAAAATTTGTAGAGTCATTGTCTCTTAATTTTTGGGTAATATTACGCCATGTTTTATCCTTGGTCCAATCCTTCTTACGAAGTACACCTGTGATGATAACAAAAAAAATTATTAATGCTAAAGGATAATATGATATTAATATTGACTTCATAGACTGAAATATCCTGGCATACTCAGGATAGCTGGAAATAAATGACAGTTATAGGGTGTTTCTACTGATAAACACAAAATAATCAATTTTTTTAAACAGCTTTTGTAATGAGTGCCCGCGTTGCAACTGCATTATACCTTTTACGAAAATCGGTTTTTGCGCCGGAAATTACGTCACCATTTTTTTTATACAACACGTTTTCCAAACAGTATAGTTTCTTTCTCACTAACAAGACAATGTATTTCAAGTATATTGTCTTGTTTCATGTGAATTTCATGTGAGAATACAGTGTGCGGCAAAAAGGCGAATGCTTTCGGCTGTGCTCATCAGCACAACAAAGGGGAGAACGAAAGAGAAAAACGGTAGGCCCAGAAGAGCGGTGAGGCCAGGCCCAATATATTCCCGCAAAATAATTACAAAACAAGTTATTTCGTTGCTCCACATGTTTGTTGACGTTTTAGCTTGAAGGCCTCTGACATGAACAAAAGGACTAATCATTTTGAAAGTTCGTGTGTGATACAATCGTGGTTCAACCTGAAGGTCATATTTCTCCTGATAATCGCTTTTTGCAGCTAAAGAGTGCACAGCCATAATCGGTTATTTGCCGTTCAAACATGCTTTTGCGTGTTTTTTAACAATTTTTTAAAATTGCTTTTTCCTAACTGGTCCTGTTTCCACTGCGACAAAAAAAAAACTATTTTTTGAAAAAGCGATTTTTAATTGATTTTTATAAAAGGTCCATAGATCATAGTAATGACAGTATTTAGTAATACAGTATAAAGACTGGTTGTTGGTAATTCCATCAACTGTATTATGTGAAATAATCTACCAGACTTAAAATAACACTGTCTACAATGTAACTAGATGTTTGATATGCAATATGGTGAATTGATTTAAAAAAAGGGTACTTACAACTGTCAAAACTAAAACTTGAGTCATTATTTGTTCCTTTCCAATCAATACCTGTCGGACTAGTTGGGGTTGGACTTGTTGGTGTCGGACTTGATGGTGTTGCTAATCATAAAAAAAATAAATAAATGCACTAATGACAACATTGAATGAATGACCAATCTGTCAATAGTAGAATATGTAATAAATTATGCATGTTTACATTTATTGTTCATTTAGGTTACAATGCACTCTGTTTTCCCTGATCATTGGGTCCATCCACATGTTTAAATGTTGCTGCCATATTGGCATAGTAGCAGGCAACCCCACCCATTTATACTCTTGGGGGAGAGAAGCAACGCAGATAAAGTGCTTTGCCCAAGGACACAAGAGAAATATGCACAGCGAGGGATTGAAAACCCAGACCTCAAGGTTGGGAAACCAAACCGTTCCCACTGCGCCAAACTGCTTCCGATATGTTTGAGACAATATTGTGCCTATTCTACTTACAGACCACTTGATATTGGTTTGACTACTCTGCTAACTGAGCTATAAGGTAAAGATTTTATATTCTCTTCTATATTTCAAATAATTTCACTCACTCCCAAGTAATTCAGGCTAAACAGTTGGTAACCTCTGTGTATGTAGTGAATCATCATTTCAATACGAAATAACACACATTCTGGTTTGATGTTAAATTTATGGATCAAAGTTTCCAACTTTTCTAAGTTGAATAGATGAATTACAATTTTTTTGTAAGTTTAATTTCAGTTTATTTCAAACTGTTCTTGAATTACATAAAATAGAAATATGTCCAACTTACCAGGTTGAAGTTCTGGCCATATATATTGAATTGTGTCTTTTGCCCTTCCAATTTTGATTAGTACTTCAGCTAATCTTTTCTTAGTAGCTTCAAGACCCTTATTTAGCATCCATGCGTAAAGTACCTCAAAGTTTTGTTTTTCCAAACTAGATTTGTGTGCATGTTTAATGTTCTCTATTTCACCCTTTCTCAAATCTAGCAGTCTACCAACTTTTGTCACTTTGTCACCTATCAGGTGTGAGACATCACTGATAATTGGAATTGTGACTGTTGATGTATCCGCTATAGAATCAAAATATAATAATAAATTATGAAAAACAATACTTTAAAAAAAAATGTATTAACCGTTTTTTACACTACAATAAATGTTTCAATTTTACCAAGTTGTAAGTAGTTTGATCTCCCAAGATATTTTTTCGTAGGGCAGGCCTAGTCAGTGGCGGCGCCAGCGGGGATGGGGCTTAAGTCCCCAACCGGACAGGTCAAGCCCCCCGCCGGACAGAGCTCGTCGGGCAGTTAGACCATAAAATATATAAAAATAGGCCCACACCAAGTCAACACATGTCTGTCACAGTCTCAGAGTGCCATTTCCGGCCATCCAGAGGCTGATATTCTTTAAAAAATCTTAATTAGGAGGGGAACCCCCTTCTCCCACAGCTCGAGCCTACGAGCTCAAGTCCCCCCCCCTCTTGGACAACTTAGCTCCCCCAGAAAATATATCCCAGAGCCGCCACTGGGCCTAGTGCCCATAACAATAAATTTATTCCCCGTTGCCTGTGGCAGTATGAACACATGTGCACTGAATAACTTGGGACATCTCAGAAGAAAAAATGCGGCCTCCATGAGGCCTGTTTTTCTTCACAGCGGTTCACTGTGAAAGTTTTAAATGGATTTGTTAGACTTGGTTCAGGTTTACAAATTTCTACTAGTTAATACTGGCAAAATATTGAAAGTGTGAAAAGGATCAGTATTACACTCGATTCTAGCCTGGGTTCCAGGCCCTAATTTTAGGTTACTCACTCTTTATTACACTTAGTGCGCGCCATAATTAATTTAATTGGCGTCCCATATTCGATTTCTTTTTTTTCGAATTAGGGCCTGGGCAAACGATTCATGCGTGCAATTTCCCACATCAAATTTGATGTGGGATATCGTATGCGTGACTGATTTTGTAAATCACGTGATTGGCTAACTTCATGCATATTAATCAATCTTGGTAAATTTTCAAAATTGAAGATGCGGATGTCTCGACTAGAACAAGTTCCAGCTCCCTTTTGGCTACCTACTTGAATTAAAACAGTTAGTGTAATAGTTCTGGCCTGCTGAGAACGACATGGACTGATAACCGTAGGCTATAGGCCTACTTGGAACCTTGCTCACCACTAGCTGCTACACAGATTTAGGCCTTTAGGGTAGAATATTGTTAAAAAGGTAGGCCTCTGTAAGTAAGAACTTAAAAATAGGCCAAGCCTCTAAGACTAGGCTAGGCCTACTACCTGACTCCAGGCGAGGCCTGAGCCATCCAACATTAGTCTTACTAGGGTCTATTCTAAATATTTTAGGCCCGTTTTATTAGGGAAGACTATTTAAATTTAGTCATGCCTAACCATGGACCTATGGCCAAACTAGTCGACGCGAGTGACTCAGATTCGTGGCTCCAAAAATATGAACATTTGATTGGTTGAAATTGTTTATTTCGGTCCGCCCATTTATCCAAATACGGAATATAAGATTACGTCATTCTTTTGACATCCTGGTGCCTGATTTCAGTGTTTTACAAGTCGCTTATTCCGTCTATAAATTAACTTTCTCGTTGGTGGCGCTGTCCAGAATGAGAAAAATAATAAAAAATAAGAGACTTGTGGCAAGTCTAACTCGATTCATATGGCAAGACATTTTTTTGGTGATCCGCTTCAAGAGCGGATCACCTCTTGTTATTGTCAGGATCATCATCCTCTTCATCTTCTTTTTTTTATTCTTCTTTCTTTCTCCCCTTTTCTGTTCGCACAATATCTAAAAAAAACTGAAACGAGTTACGCAAAATCGCTGTCAGCCAACATTTGGCTTGGTCTGGAATAGTCATGGTAAGCTTTTCAACGCGCTCAGTCATGCGTGACGTCATCTACGCGCAATTTTGCATTTTTACATTATCGATCATATCAGCCTAACCAACTGCCATTTCGAAATCGTATTAAGTGAACATTAACTTCGGGTTAATGTTGAATGTACTGTACCCTAATTTGACGCGTGTGCTTCACTACGCGCGCGTACGCGTGCGTCAAAATTTCAAAATACTCAAAATCACTTTTTGACTAAATTAAGCACGTTTTAGGCCATTTTGAGCATTTCAAATTTTTTTGGAAATTTTCCACTACGCGTGCGCATTTTTACGTGCGCAGCACATACAAAAGCCAAAAATTTACAATATTTTACATATTTTGGGTTCCTGACATTGTTTTCACAAATTTCCATTCTTTTTGGCCAATAGCAATACCGTACGTACGTATCAAACATAGGTATCTTTGCGCGTATTTGTGCTGCTATACAGTGAAATTATGCTAAAATCAGGCCTATTTTTAATCAGTTATATCTCCTTAGGTTGAAAGGTGACCCCCAATTTTTATTACATATTCTGAAAGCACATGAGTTGTAGTGAGTAATGAGTGATTATGTTATAGCTAAGACAATTCTCTTTCATATATATGACTAATTTTTCTGACCCCCCCTCATCTTTCTTTCCTTTAAACGTTGATGAGCCCATTTCATCTTAACCATTCATCATTTCTGATTCATATTAAGTGAGCATAATCTTCAGGTCAATGTTGAATGTCATGTACCTTAATTTTTCTTTCGCGTTTTTTAGCGTGCACGTACGCGTGCGTTAAAATTTATGTATGCATAAAAATATCAATATTTTAAATCAGTTATAGCTCCTTAGAATGAAAGGTAATCCCCAATTTTCATTACATATTCTAAAAGCACATGAAATGTAGATACGATTTTATAGATGATAATGGCTGATCGGACATTGTGACGTCATAATATTGCCATTTAAATTAAAGACAAAACTGAATTTTTATTTTACGACTCGTTTGAACGTATTTTGCTTATTCTTGATTGTCTCCCATCTGTGAGTATGTTATAGCTGAAACAATTCTATATCAGATGCGTACATTTATTTTTTATATTGATCACGTCAGCATGGTCTAAAAGAATGAATTTTTGTAGCCTTATCTCACATGCTTAAAAGATGTAAAAAAAAAATAAATACAATTTAGAGAGGGCGACAGACTGTATTTCGACGCTATCGGACTGATATAGGTCATATGAAGGGAAAATTCGTGTAGCATTACCAACAGGCGGTTTTAAAAACACTTGACAATGTCTAATTTCTTGTGCCATTACCGTACACGGACACATTGCGAATTGCACGTGTTAAAATTTGAAAATTCTCAATATCATATTCAGATAGTTTAAAGACCGTTTCAGGTCATTTTTAGAATTTCAAAACTTTCCATAATTTATGCGCCGTACGTTCATTTCCACGCACACAGCACGTACTAAGGCTAGTAATTACGTTTTGTTTCATATTTTGTGTTCCTGACACTGTATTCATATCAGAAGTCACTCTTTGTGCAATTACCGGGCTAATGGGCATCAAGACGTGCGCGTACGCATGTGTAAGTCTTTTAAAATGCTCAAAATTATTCTTTTTTTAAAAACAAATGACAGCATATTTTAGCATATTATGAAACTTTTCAATCAGCACCGCGCGTGCTTCCTGAGGGTCAAAGTACGGCGGATCACCAAACTCGTCCTCAGTGATGAGTTCAAATCTAGTTTATACCTTGTTTTGGGAACTAATTTAAAAAAAAAATTACATTTTGTTATTTCATTTTAGCAAATAGTTTGGCCATCAAGAAGGAAGACAAAATAAAAATTAAATTTTTTTGGTGAATATAAACAGTGTAGTAATGGGATGGTTATGTGCTTTAAATTTATATAATTAAGAAGAAATATACATGTCATATTTGTGGAGATTTAATGGCAGTGGCGGGCGTAATATAAATAGAGAAAACTAATTGGCCAAAAATGAAATTTTATTTTTATTTGAAATCATCAATATTGGCGACCGGCCGGTTTGCTAAATAAGGTATAAAGAAGTCTTGCCTACAAGATAAAATATTACAGGGTGCTTGCTGCTACAGATCAAATCAAGTCAGTTTTGTTGACTTGCATACTTTTTACTAAAACAATTAATACAGTACATCAATTATGATCCATACAAATAAAATATTTATTCATCTCAGAATTGGTAGAAAAAAATATTGCTCAAATTTTTAATTTACAGTTAATAACTTAAATATACAATGTAAGCATTTCATTTATTAAATTCATTATACACCAAATACTGTATAACTTACTGCGGTACTTTTCAGGTAGGAAAAATTTCTCAGGCTCAGGCATCACAGGTTGACTGGCGGGAATGTGTTTTCTTGAAATTATTGAAGCGCCATTATGTCCATTGCTTCCAGGGCCAGATTTGTTGCTGTCTGTAGAATCCAATAGCGGGTCCTTTTCTTCACCTAAATACATTTTATATATTTAAAAAACCCCAATAAATGAACAAATTTGGATAACCTATAAAAGTACCAACAGCATGGTATAAAAAAGATGAAATTGAGAATGGCATTTTGAGGTGAAATTTGAAATATAAAGATGTTTACGTTTACCTATGAAAAATTTGATATAGCATACTTTACATGGATGACAGTACTAACAACATCCAGCCTTTTTTGTCAACAAAATGATCTATTGTTTGCAGGTAATTATAGGTTTATTATAATATAGACACCCATATTTCAACAAAAGTTCATTATTTCACAATTAAATGATCAAATATGTTTAGGATTTTAACTGTACATTAAAAAATATTCAAAGATGAGAAAATTAGGGTCTTCTTTTAGACATAGTAGTAAAAAATAAAACACTTACTTTCAACTTCATCACTATTGTGTTTATTAGATGAAATGGCTGAAATCAACAATAATTAAAGCTGACTTTAATACTTCCAAATATGAAAATAACAGTTTATTATTAAATTTATATTTAAAAAATATTTCAAAAGATGAGCAAGATAAAAATGGGGTCTGCTTGTAGACACAGTAGCTATAAAACACTTACTCTGAACAGCATCAACTTCATTACTATTTTGTTTGCGAGTTGAATGGCCGAGCGGTTAAGGGAGGCGCCGCTACCTATAGCCATAACATTCGGCGCTGGTTCGAACGGCACGCTCGCCTATGGTTCCGGAGGTGGAACAAGTCTTCTCGGATAAGGAGATGTGTATGTAGGCCCAGTGTACACATTTGGCTCGTGTGCACTTTAAAGAACCCAGTGCATCTTTCGAGAAGAGTAGGGGGTTACCCCGATGTACTGGTCCATTCATTCAGCCTCTCCTGCGTCCTAGCTGATGCCAAACGTAGTGCACCCTTGCACTCCTTTGGACCCCACCAGTGATGGAAATAGAGGGGGATTCTGACGCATGGGCAACCCAGGATCTCCAAATTCACTGCCCAGGCACGCCATTGTTCATGGCGTATAGCATCGTCTTTCGAGACGGCTGGCCTATATATACTATTTTGTTTATTAGGTGAATTGCCTGGAATTAACAATAAAGTTCAACATGAATATGAAATTGGGCTGATTTATGGTTTATTATTACCCAGGCAATATACTGTTCAATCACTATTTTGTTTATTAGGTGAATTGCCTGGAATTAACAATAAAGTTCAACATAAATATGAAATTGGGCTGACTTACGGTTTATTATTGCAAAATACTGTTCATTAAAAAAAATGTTCATCTTAATAGGAATGGCCAATCAAGAACCATTGATGAAGATAACAAGAGTTATCAAAGATTTTGTAAAATGGTTTACCTACCTAAATTTGATTGTTTATCTCTGATTTGATTAAGTTCTACATCTGTATTTGGGATAAGAAATCAGATGTCAGTACTAAATTCAATTTATATTCACACATTAGCGAAGTTCTTGGAAATAATCCCACATATTTGTGATACAACTTTCCATCACAATGACAGCACAATAATTCATGCTTGGTCATAATCAAGGTACTTCAATCAACTAAATGCTTTAATTTGCTAAAATATGATATATTGCTACATACCTTTCGACACATTTGATAATTTGGAACAACAGTTACAGTTGAAGATAACATTTTTTACCGTATTCCAGTTATTCTCTGGTGCTTAAAAAAAAAAACCAATATGATTTGTTACTATTTCAATTTTTTCTCATTTCCGATATTTATTTAAATTAAATAAGTAAAACGATTAAAACTACAATTCTTGTACCTTCTTTTTGAGGATTCATATTATTTTTTTTCAATTATTTAAGTTTTATTTGCTCATGAAAAACATAACTAAAGGCTCATGAAAGCATAAAAAAAAAAAAAAAATTGGCAGGAGGTTAAAGTTCCTGGTCTTTGAAAAAACCTCAAATGAGAATGTGGCAGAAAGAGACAATGTATTCATTAGGCAAGATTTTTTTAAAGATCGTCATGGGAAGGCGGAAAAAAAAAATTTTTGCACATCCATTGCAAAACATCCAAATGGAAGAGAAAGTAAAAACACTGAAGTAATGGGATAGGCAAAAGCTTCAATTTTATATAATTAGGATGAAATATACATAGTGTGTGATTTTTGGAAATTTTAAGGCAGTGGCAAGGGCAATAGAAATAAAGAAAAACTTATATTTTTTTTCTTTTCTTTCCTTTTCTATTTCTAGTTTTTTGGTGGTAGTTGGTGTGTTAATTGGCCAAAAATATAAGTTTATTTTTATTTGAAATCATCATTATTGGTGGACATCGAGTTTGCCTTCCGTGGCAGCACAGGCAAAGGCATTGAACCGTGGTATTTTCAGAATACAGTGACGGATCAAGGAGGAGCCCCACTCCTCCCAGGGAGGAGTGTAGACCACCTCAGCCCAACCATGGTTGGGGCTTAGGTAAGCAAAATGTAGTTGGCCCGAAATGGCACTCTCAGACTTAAATTTGAATATAATTTTCTTTTTCCTCCACTTTTAAATTTTGAAAAAATTAGGGAGGGTGGGCCGGCTGGTTCCCTTGAATCTGCCACTTATATTGTTCATGCAAACTGACATTCATGAAAATAATGATTTAATAGCTACTGATAAGCTTGTGACGTATTTGAACCATGAAAATCAAATAAGATAAACTTAAAACAATCACTTTAACTTCTACAGTCTCTTTGCATGTACTGTACTTTTAAAATTTATCAAGAGGATTTTCCTTCTCTTTTTGAGTTTCACTTTAGTGCAAGTGTGTTGGAACAACATTATTGTGAGTGGAAATACTACCATCTAATGTATCAAACTAGGGAGATAGGAAGAACACAAAACATTAGTTAGCATATTTATTTCACTAATTTATCATTATCATTGCGTCATGGCAAGATTGCGTCAACGTAACATCGAAGTTCGTAAACTTGTGGTGTCACTACTAAAATAAGTAGAAATTGATATATCTATCTCTGTCAAAAGCTGTATAATTATTGTGTAATAATAGCTATGTAAAATTTAATTGACTAATTACAATGTTTTGAAATGCAGAAAACATTACCTGTATATACGGGTCTTAATAATATACAAAAGAAATCGTTTATAGTAGAAATTGTGCACCTTTGTTAGCCTAATAAGTTTACACGCTTCCAATTATAACAATGTACAGTACATTGTTTTCACAAGAAATTTAGCCTCTGATAACCATTGCACCCATAAAATTGATGGAGTGGTTACCGAGATGGTTACAAAATGTAAAAACAATTGCGTTTTTACTCGGTTTTGGTCCGGAAATACAGCATGCACCACACTTGGAACAGAGCAAAAGTTAAAAGACAAAATTCATGACAGTCAATCGTAATTGTTGTTTTTCTTTCCACTCTCTTTGAAAAATGGGGTTTTAACTACAGAAGACTGGTAAAAAGTGGGGGGGGGGACAATTAATATGATGTCCCCACTATTTTGAAAAATGAGGGGTACGTCCAACCCACCAACACCCATGAGTACAGGTGCTGTAATGTGGGTGCTGCTAGTAACCCACGGACTAGCCAACATTTCAAATTTCAATTTTAAATAGGATATTTTAAAAGAAAATCATCAATATAGTAAGTTAAACCATCAATATAGTACCCATGTGGGCCTAATTTTTTTTCGCCTTCCACCAAATGCTTTTGGCAGACCATTTGCTAAATTTTATTTAAATTCTTTTGCCTTCGTCCGTTGATCTCTATGTACAATCTTTAAACTAGACCTGTGCCAGGGCTGTAGTTTATATTGTTAGTTAGGTGCAGATCTAAAAAGAAAATTAGGTAGGTCCTATGTGTGTGTGTTTACAAAAAACCTTTAAATTTGCTTGATAGGGTTTTTGAATTAAATTATGCATCTTGTGATTATGCATAATAATGACCCCTGCAACTTTTGTCCTTTGACCTTACTTGACATTAGGAGCATATTAAAAGATAATATTTACAATGTCCCAAGTATCATCTGTAACAAATTTGAGCTACATCAAAAATATGGACAACTGACATTTGACCTATGAACTTTGACCTATAGGGTGAAGAGTATTTTTCTTTCATGTTTTAAAAGGTCCTACTGATCATTCCTGGTAAATTTGAGCTCAATTGGGCTATTTTGCAAAGCGAAGTGTTTTGCTGATTGCCTGCATACAGCGAGTCAGGTTTTAACACAGGCGTTCATAAAGTAAAGGAAGTTTTCTAGGAATACAAATCGTACTGTAAGGACAACAACTAGGCCTAACATTTCTAGTTGACTGCCTGCCAGCAAAGAACAAGCATCTGCCACACTCTCCAGCAAAGAACGAGTATCTGCCGCGCTCTCCATCAAAGGTGTACCGTAAAGCTGGCTGTTTTTTACCTGTACAGTAACAGGCCTATCGCGTCGCAAGTAAACAGTACAGAGACAGGGACTGACTCTCCCTGAATTCATAGATGACTATATTCATCAGAAAATTTTGCATACAACCTCAAACAATCATGTTTAGCAAATATTTTTGTATTGATTTTATCTCCTACATCTTATAATTCATCAAAAACGCAAGATATTACCAGCGGTTCAACTCCACACCAGACAGTACATACATCTCAGCTTTCTAAAAGTATTTTTACTACTAGTTTATGTGTTTACAAAGTCAACTTGACCTCTGTGACCTCACTTTTTGGATGCTGACGACGACTAGGTTTATATTGTTGTTATACCTACAGTACTGTAAAGCTACATTTACACTAGACACGACGACACAATAAAGATGCGCTCAGTGTTGAAGAATATAAACGACGCGATGATATGTCACTGGCATGTTGTTATCGTGTCTAGTGCAAATGTAGCTAATATCATGAACTGTGGACGCCTACTGCCGACAATGCCAGTTTAGCTCAGTCAGCATCGGACAATAATTTGAAGGTTACTGGTCTGTTTTCTACAGCAGCCCATATTTACTTTGCTCCAGCGGTTCAACTCCACACCCAGACAGTACATACATCTCAGCTTTCTAAAAGTATTTTTACTACTAGTTTATGTGTTTACAAAGTCAACTTGACCTCTGTGACCTCACTTTTTTGATGCCGACGACGACTAGGTTTATATTGTTGTTATACCTACAGTACTGTAAAGCTACATTTACACTAGACACGACGACACGATAAAGATGCGCTCAATGTTGAAGAATATAAACGACGCGATGATATGTCACTGGCATGTTGTTATCGTGTCTAGTGCAAATGTAGCTAATATCATGAACTGTGGACGCCTACTGCCGACAATGCCAGTTTAGCTCAGTCAGCATCGGACAATAATTTGAAGGTTACTGGTCTGTTTTCTACAGCAGCCCATATTTACTTTGCTCCACTTACTGTCAAATAAATATGCCTGAAGCAGAAACCACCAACCTATACATAAACTTACCAGTTGATGGTGAGCTTGCTGATCGGTCATCATTAGGATTGCAGCAACCTGTTGCGGAAAAAAACTGAATTGATTTAAAACATACTATACTAAAAAACCATACTAGCTTAAAACCAAACATACTAGCTTAAAGAATTTTTACTTACTGATTTTTAATGTTTCATGTTTTTATCCTTTACTACATGCAGTTTTTATATTTACTCAATTAGTAACTTTTTTACCATTTTTTAAATTTTAAATTTTAAATTGGCCTATGTTTACCTATTTTATATATTTTACTATATATTCTAAACCTTGCCAGATCACTATCTGAAAATATTCTCTCTTGTGCAATAATTACCCTGGCTTCTGGACCCCATTGGAAATAAGTCTGGTGTACAATCACTAGACTTAATGGGTCATCCAGGCATTCAATTAATTATTCATCTCCTTTTTTTATGTTCGTTATCAAAATGTTATTGTTATGTATGTGATATTGAATGCAAATAAATCAAATCAAATCAAATCAAATATTCCTTCCCTCTTCCTCTCCCACCCTCCTGATACATATTTCATACAAAAACCTAATCTATGTGTATACCAAAAAATAATGGTATGAAACTCATAGAAAAAAAATTAAACATGTCTTACCACATCTTAGAAAGCAAGGGCAGTAATTGGTCCAAAATGTCTTGGATTTCTCAGTCCAACAACATAACACTTTTGTAGCAAATCCAACAATAGCAAGTATAAAAACTAAAAAGACAATGAAAGAAAAATTACAAACCAAATAAACAATACACTAGTTGGTAAATTACAGGTACAGTAATACATTTAGTAGCGATACAAGTCAGTCATTACATCATCAATTTTATTCCCATGTAATTTTCCTATACCTCCTGAGCAGACACTAAATTTGATATATTGTCTGGTTTATTTTGAATCTTGTGTCGCAGGGCCACTTGTACTTGGCGCCAGGAGTTAACTGTTCTATTATTTATCGAGGGTTATTCTGATGTGTGAGACAGAATAGGCAATTTGTCGGTTTGTTCAGTGGCGTATCTGGAAGTCTTGAAATGGGGGGAGCTGGCGAAGGTGAAGTGGTGGGCGGGGGGACTGAATGACCAGTTCAGGGGTGCTTATTCACAAAATAAGGTGATTTTTAACTACCTGACTGTGATTTTTTGGGGGGAGGGGACGCAACTAATTTTTTTTTTGTTTTTTTTGGGGGGGTGACCATATATCATTGCAAGCAAGCTCAGAACAAACACATAACGGACCTAACAAATCTCACTCTTCAGCATTGGTGAACATGAATTAAGACTAGACCAGCTAGCTAGGCCTACAAAGGCATTTATGAGATAAAAAATGATTTACTTAACAAGAACTAAAAAGACATAATTCATCATAATGTATACACTACATGTTTATCTCTTTAACAAATGTTTACCATTCTATCGAAGAGTGTTAGTTTGTGTACTACTGTAGCAAGTCCTTCTCATGCGCAATTAATATGTTGATCAACTGAGCAACCGATCACCGCTACAACCAGCAGCTTCATTGAAATATTATAAAATGAGATGCAATTATTGTCAAGTTATTTCGGACACTACAGAAATTAGATACCTTTAGGAGGAACCAAGTAGGCTTCGAGCAATTTTTGTTAGGAAATATATGGCTGGCTCATTTGGCTTTTAGTTTGTATAGTGTCCTCAGAACGTGACTATAATTATATGTTAGTTATGGTGGATGTAATTCATTGTGACAATCCAAAGCCAGAGGTTAACAGGACTCTAGGGAATGGAGTCAAAATATCCTATACAGTGCAGTGGGTGAGTAATAATAAATTTGTTTACTTCATTAACACTAGACTTTTTTTTTTATAAGAACCATTAAAATTTTGCCCAGACTCAGTGTTCTTATTTTTTGGCCGATTTCAGTCTGAAAATGTTCTTATTTTGTTCTTATTTTTCCACACTTTTCAAACATACCAAATTATTACTGAACAGCAGTATGTTACTTTACTGTATTATAGGGCGAGTCGAGTGGCCGAACGGTAACGGAGGGGCGCCGCTAGCTATAGCCTTAACATCGGTGCTGGCTGCAGCTGCTCCTCGCCCATGATTCGGTTGGTAGAACCAAGTCTTCTCGGGTAAGGACTTAAAATGGAGATCCAGTGTATACATCTGGCTAGCGTGCACTTTAAAGAACCCATTGCATCTTTCGGAAGAGTAGGGGGTTACCCTGATGTGATGGTTCATTTCAGCCCCTATCGTTGAAATAATGTGAACTTGTAGCTACCACGAAGCGTCCCTTTACGCATGCTAGGTAGTCACGGACCACGGCCATACACAATTCAGCACAATGGTGCTAAGTTATGGGTTATTCTCCTACCTTTACCCTTTAGAGGGTACTTAAATAGTCACAGCTACTGTAATTAAGGTACAGATAAGATTTGTTGGTTTATTCTATTTTAAAAACCAACAAATCTTATCTGTACCTTAATTACAGATAAGATTTGTTGGTTTATTTGACATTTTACCTCCGCTTAATTTTTTCTTATTTTGTTTTTAATTTTTAAGCAATTTCATCCTCAGTGTTCTTATAAAAAAAAAGTGTACGACAGACGCTGAATAGTAACATATAGGGTCGGAATGGCTAATCAGCAATACTACTACAACAAATTATTTTTTATTATGGTGAAGACATTCTGATGATCTACATAAAATACCTGGACTAAGTACGATAAGAGGAATATAAACTTTTGGTTTCCACCAAGACTCAATCTCAGGCTCGCCATCAAGTGCTTTTATAGAAGACATTGTTGATGATGTCATTTCCCTCACATTTGTTGGAGTTGTTAAGTCAGTTGGATGAGGTAGATCATGGCGGATGGTGCTAACATTGGCTATAGTCATAGAAAAAAGAAAGTACACAAATAATCATAATGTGAATTTAGATTACAATTTTTAATAAGCATAACAAATTTATAATTATTTAATTTTTGTCCACCTACAGGTCTGAACAAACTCTATACTAATCCTCTATCCACGCTATCAAATTTTATTCATTCATTCATAATGGTATATTTATTCATAAATAATCTTCACTGAAAAACTGAATTGTGATAATCTTTTACATAAAATCAATTGCGAACAACAATGAAATTTTTAAAATGGTTAAAAGATAACATACAAAAAGTGACACTGGAAATTAAGTAAAAGCACAAATCACAATCATATAAAAACATCAATTAGCAACAAAGCAGATAAAAAATAACAAATTTATGGTAAGCTAAAAGCCTGGCCAGACTGTAAAATGCAATAATACTATTATTATTATATGTACTATTATTATTTTTTATGTGATAAATATCAATGACTTGGCATAGATTGTTTTTTTTCTGATTTTATCTATTCAATTGTAAGCTAATAACTTACTGTAAATATTAAATATAAAAAGTAAGCAAATATTGATTTGGCGATTATTGAAATTGAAGGAATTATTGAAGCAAGTTATTCAAAGCAGGGCATCTTCTGTACTCAAATAAATATGATACTTGCAAACATACATTAAAATGTATAATGATTCTACTGTAATTCAATTATTAATTTTATTTGGCCAATAGCAGAGCAAGTTAATGTTCAGGTGATTCAAATTTTATACAAAAAAAAATTGTACATATAGATATATTAAGTATTATTATCACGGCAAGTGAAAATACAATTCCAAACAGACAAGATATATACTGCCCTAAATTGTGTAATAATATTTCACAGCCTTTTATTTTCACAATGAAATGTTTTCTTGAAAATTCATTTTCACCTCTCCATTTTCAACATGCAGAAGCCACGAAAGTTTCTAAACTATTCATACAGGTACAGTCAATTCTGGCTGCGTGGTTACATCTAGACCAATAACTGACTGGCCACTCACTAGAAAATACCACTTATAGTACTGCTGATGCATTGTGAATGTTTTATCAAAATCTTTATTGTTTGAATATTTACATATTCTTTTACAATATAGACTATAAATATTTACATAATTTCATGTAACAAAGTACAACTGAAAAAATGGCACACTGCCATGACTTGGCAATTTTGAACATTTTCAGGTGCCATAGCCATAAAATTTCCTACACCTCAGTCCCAAGTTGAGCTGAGGTGGTGTCTGGACCTCCATCTCTAAAAATTCCTCAATGGGACCCCATCCTATCCCCCTCCCACCCACCACCCGAGTTCTGGATTAACTGCTGAAGTTGGACGTACTACTCAACAGACCAAATGAAAGAATTATTGGTTACTCTAAGCCACATTTATGCAAACTGATAATAAACTGCCTGCAATAATTCTATTCCAATGAAGCAGTTTGTTTTAAAAAAAAAACTTACGTTCTATTGTTGTAGTAGGGATGCCTTGCGGTGGTGGCGATTTTGGACTACAGCCAGCCGGACAATCAGCTTTGATGCATTCAGGACATTTTAAACATATCTGTGAAGAGCTCCTGTAATAGTCAGGCTTACACTCGCATTTGGCATTAGTTTCCTCTGTACAGTTCTGCAGTTGTACTTCATTTGGCTGACATACAGTACAACTATTACAATAAGCCTCAATTCCTTCACCTAACAAGTATGTTCCATCTGTTATCAAATAGAATAAAACATGTTAGAATATAACAGGGTATTGCTGAAACCCTGCAAACCTCCAAAAAAACACTGCAAACCCCATCCAAACCTAGTGACAATGATTGAATAACATAGTATAGGATTCAACTTGGTATCTCAATCAAAAAAATAAATTTTATGTTCATAAAAACCTATTTTTGAGCTAAAATCTTAATTTTTTGTTAACGATAAAAATATCTAAAAGATACACTGCAAACCCCATCCAGACCTTCTGATAGTGATTGAATCAAGTAGTATAGGACTCAACTTGGTATCTCAATAAAAAAAAAAAAAATTTCTTATAAAATAACATTAACAACCTATTTTTGGGGTAAAATGGCCATTTTTTGTTTTTAAAAAGTGCTAAACCGCAAACCTTCAAAAACACACCACAAACCCCATTCAAACCTTGTGATAGTGATTGAATCATGTAGTACAGGACTCAACTTGGTATTTCAGTAAAAAACAATCATAATTTTATGATCATAACAACCTATTTTTGGGTTAAAATGCCATTTTTTGTTTTAAAAAATTGCTATAACACAACAAACAACCAAAAACACACTGCAAACCCCATCTAAACCTTGTGAGATACCAACAAGTTGAGTCCTACTGTATACTACTTGAATCAATCACTATCACAAGGTTTGAATGGGGTTTGCAGTGTTTTTTGAAGGTTTGCGGTGTATTTTTAACAAAAAATAAAGATTTTAACCAAAAAATAGGTTGTTATGAACATAAAATTAATTTTTTTTTGAGATACCAAGTTGAGTCCTATACTACTTGATTTGAAAATTTGGGGTGGTCTCCAATTAGAGGGCTTGCTTTGTGTTAAAAGGTTGAAGATTGTTATTTGGGTCTTTGGAAAAGTGGTCTCGAATTAGAGGGGTATCGGAATTAGAGGGGTCTCAGAATTAGAGGGGTTTCAAATTGGAGGGTTCACTGTACCTTAAATGCATTTTACAGAAACAGAAAAATAAGAGGCAAGACAAGTAAAGAATTATTATTAATAAATATATTAAACCACTCTGTGATCATTGAACTTTACGGAGACTGGCAACTACACTGTACAAGGATTGCCTTATTGAGAATTTATAGGCTATAAAGGTTGGATTAGAACCTAAAGGAAAGAGACATGCAATGTTAAGATAATGAATGATAAATCTGAAGTTAAATTATCCATAATAGACATCAATGTCAATATTATCAAAATAAAGTAAAACCACAGTTATTTCATTATCTATTCAATTGTCAGGTACTTTTTGGACAATGACGTACCTTAACTTAAACTTACTACCATATAGGCATTATACAGGGTCAGTTAGAAGATTTTTTTTTTACTGGGTCTAATTCAGTAAATGGACAGTGTAAAAGGTTTTTGTTATTCAGTGCTTGACAAGTGGCATTTTTAAACATCAGGCTGAGGTAATTGGTACATTGAAAGAACATGTTTTATTTATTTATTTATTTATTATTATTTCCTTGCATAAATTACTCTTAAACGTAGCCTTCGCGTTGACATCGAGGCCTTGGTCCTCGCGAACGCGATTACATGCGGCACGGGGAATGGGCAGTGCAGCCAGCAGCGTGCGGTATTGAGCCTCCGGTGCCGGGAAGGCTACAGACAAACGCCTAGGCGCAGCCTTACGCGGCGCCGTCTCCTTAGCCTGGGCCTGGCGTGCAAGGAGAGCTGGGTCCAACGGGACCACCGGACAAGAAGTGACGATGCGAAGAGGTTGCGTCTTCTCGAATGTTCACCAACGATGGTCTGGAGGCTCAGCCTCAGGCGCGGAGATGCCCAAATACGCCAAAACAGCGGGGATCACCCGGTTTACCAACGCCTGTAAACCCTCCCTGCAGTCTCCCTCCTCCTCCCCCCACAATGAGGCCATATCCTCATCGGCGAACACAGGCAAATAAGGGAGATTCTCAGTAGGAAGAGGAGGAGGGGGACAAACGGCCGCAGCCGATAATAGCGCAGAAGCTTGCAAAGCAGCCTGCGCCGCCGCCGAAATCGCTTGCATGACCTCAGGAGCCAAAACAACCCCCGGCGGCTGGGATCCCATAGACACGGGATCCGAAAGCGCAACAGGAGGCGGCGCGGAAAACGGCGGAGCCGAGACCGACACGGACGCACTCACTGCAGGAACCGGTCGACAATGGTCAGCCTGCCAAGCCTTAATGGTCACAAATCGAGATGCCGGCCAACGTACGCAAATCTCACATGGAGAATCCGCGGAGCACCCCCTGAAAGCAGGGCAAACCTTATGGTTATTGACCTTCGGAATAGGCCGAGGGCCCCGACACTGAGGACATTCCGACTTGCCGGCCATGACGACAGAACACAATATCCACAGCAAAAAGATAACAATCCAAGATAATAATCCAAGATCCAACAATGATAATTCCGTAACAACGGTGTAACTTCTCGAACGTATCGAAAAAGAATGAGGAAGTTCCATGGTTGTGGGGCCACTTGTGCTTGGCGCCAGGAGTCGTCTGTTCTATTATTTTTTTAGGGTGTTTCTCGAGGGAGAAAGAATAGGCAATTAGTCGGTTTATCCAGGTAAGTATTCACGAAGTAGACTACTTTAATAATGCAATAAAGCAATACAAAAATAAGAAAACAAAGAATTCTATTTTTATATTGAATATTTTTGATGTGAAAGTTTCAAAATAAATTTTAATATTAATAATGTAGTTTTCAGTAAGGTATTCTTATTCTTTTAGGAATGTAATGCAATTTTCAATGTGTAAATATTCCATTCATCACCTACTGTAAAGTGTATGTATTTTTAGCCAAAATTTTTCTAATAACTTTGCTCTTAATTCAGTTCCTGCTGCAAATAAGTGCTTTTATGTATTTATATCTTATATATGCTTTTTTTTCTATGTGAATAAAATAACAAAAAAAACATAAATTAGCTTGTGTTTATTTAAGTAACCTTACCACCTAACAGGCTCATTTCCCAACCTCTAGAAATCAAAATTTTCTCAGGGCAGTACCCCCACCCACTTTTTTTTTTCTTGGAAAAATGTTTTTTCTTGGAAAAATGTTGACACCCCTAATTTGAACCCAGATCCGCTACTGTATATCAAGGTACTCACAACAATTTACTGGTACCCATTAATACACCTAGGTAAACAGATGCAATGTAAATAAAGTGTCTTGCTCAAGGATACAAGTCCCCAGACTTTGAGGTTGGGGACCAAAATAGTTCATACTGTGCAAAACTGCTATTAACATTCTAGGAGAAATATAAAAATCTATACTGTACTCACCTACACATTTTTCACAAATATCGCTTTTAGTACAAGTACTTCCATCTTCACAGCAAGCCTTATTTAGATGGTGGCCAGGCGGACATCCAGCTATACATTCACTGACTTGCCTTGTCTAATGCAAAGATACAAGTTATTTGATGAGAAAAAACCTTTGGTAGCAGAGACTCTGCTAAATATTCTAAATATTTTGTGTCTACTGCCTGCGTGGGGAAAATATAGACCATGACTGTTGGAGATGTCAAAATTAAATTACCCAATGATGGATGGCTAAATCAATTATTAAAGCAATTACAGTCCGGTTTTGAGTACACTATAAAAAATAGATAATAATAATAAGTAATAATAATAATAGTGTAGTTTTATATAGCGTACATACACTATTCATACATAAGATGCCCTTAAGGGTCACTTCGTGTCTGTGCTACCCGGTAACCCGGTACCAGCAAATCTCGTCATCCACCACAGGGGCTGTCTGTTTCAGTACCGTACACCGGGGTATCCCCCTACTTGTCTCAAAGGATGTTAGTTGGGTTAGTGCACACGAGCCATTGTATACACTGGGCCTACGGTTTATAGTCCTTATCCGAGAAGACTTGGTCTACCACCAGAACCACAGGTGAGCGTGCCGTTTGAACCAGCGCCGATATTTTGGCTCTAGCTTGTGGTACCCCTGCTAACCACTCACCCATTTGGTTAAAAACATTGAATCCCACAACAGGCCCGTAGCCAGGTCATTTCAA